CACATAGGTGTGAAAAAAGTGGATTCACTAAATTCAGTTAATCCAACCCCACATCAAGCCCTTTAAAAATGTTCAAATTTTTTTTCACACCTTTTGCTCACTCTTGTAAGTAGGGTTTATTCCCACCAGCTGACAGCAAGTTTTGGAGACAATTTTTTTTCTTTTTATTGCTGTCTGGCATTGAGCCAGCCATATCAAAGACAAATTTGCTTCATTTGAACCCTATCTTCTTTCTTATTGCTGCTTTTTTTTTTCAAAAATTATTGAAATTATGCTATTGGTTTTTTCTTTTCTGAAAACTCACCATGGAACAAAAGTAACACCCGGAGTAGATTGCCCCCTCCACCAACTATGCCACTGATGAAGATGTCATCTATGTATCTCAGCCACAGAGTTGGCTTTAGTGATGTTGATTCTAATGCCATTTCCTCAAAATATTCAATGTATATGTTAGCCATAGCTGGTGATAATGGCAAGCCCATCGCCAAGCCTTCATCCCATGGATATATGTTTGATCCCATTCCAAAGTATACTGTTTGTGTACAGAAAGTTAGCATCTCTATCAGGTTATCTATTGGTATACTAATACATTCTAGAGATGAGTCCATGACCAGCCTGTCCCTGACTACTTATTGTTCACCAAGGTACCTACAGAGAAAGCACTAACTTATCATGTTCAGGCTCACCATCTGGTTGAATTGGATAGGAGCAGAGTTTTGGACATATGATGGTGACATTCCTATTTATAGGTCAACTATATCTGCAAATCAAAGGTTGGCACACAGATCTTTGGCAGCTAACAATTGGCCTGAGAGGAATATCATCTTTGTGAATTTGGGGGAGAATTACAACATATATTCACTAGATGGGGAATACCTGACAAAATCATAAGCGATAATGGAGGATAATTCACAAGAATATATTTCAAAGAATTCACTAAACAATACAGATTCACACACACCACAGTAAGTCCCCACAAACAAATTGAGCTGCTGAAAGCCCAGTGAAAATTGTGAAAAGAAACATTATGAAAGACAGACATATTCCTTGTATTAATAGCATACCATAGTACACCTATAATTGTTATGGGAGTTAACCCAGCAGAACTCTTGATGGGTAAGAAAATTAAAACAATTTTACTCAGTCACTCAAATAAAGTAAAACCCAAATGGCCAAATTTATGGGATTACCTCCCATAAATTTGGCCATTCAAGAGAAATATGGATCATACAAAACAAGATGTAAAATAAATTATGATTTAAAGATCTGAAACCACTAAAAGTGTGAGGTAGAATTCGAGAGAAATCGGTGGAAGAGAAAAATGTGGAAAAAACACTGGCACAGTAATAGCAGCAAATAAGCAAGATAGGACATACATAGTAACGATGAGCACTGGTGAATTCCTAAAAAGAAACAGGAAACATTTACTGCCTATTGGGGAAGAAAAATACAAAGTTTCCAAGAAAGGGGAAAGGAAAGAAAACTAGATCCAATTCAAAATTAAGAATCAAGATCTAGGAAAAGACAGTTAACACAAAAACCAAAATACTTAAAACGCTTTGTGTGAAAATTAAATAATAACCACTTGAAAACAAATAATAATAATATCTGGACAAGGGAAGGGGTTTTATCTGAAAGTAATCACTGATAACAATAATAAGGATTAAGGGCTATGCCCCTTGTTGTTTGTATCTGCCCATGAGAACTGTTCAATGGGAGTTCTAATAAAATTTGTTAAACTGTTAATAAGTGTTTGTTGTTGCGCCCATGATCCAAGCATCAGCTCAGAAAGTGATTCACTTTCTGAGATGAAACAAAATAAATGAACAAAATAAATATCTGAGTGTGTTCTTGAAAGTTTGTCCTCTTTATCTTCTAAGTCCCTGATGTTCCACTAAAACATGATGTTCCAGTGTAAAAAGATTTTATAAGCCTAAACTCTTAGTCTTGTCATGAATATCAAAGATAAAAAAAAAATCCTGATCACATCAACACAACTAAAACACTGAGTTGGTAAAGCTAATCTCAAAGATAACAATCTTAAATGTGATATATCAGCAAATTAAACTTGTGTTTAAATAAAATACAAATGAGAAATCTCACATATATACTACTAAATGTTATTAAGATCGCAAGTGAGGAAAAATAAAGATTTAAAATAATTTGTTTTTGTGCATTTATTTGAACTATATGTATTTTAAGAGTATTGATGACCATATAAAAAAAGACTTAACACAAACATACCAAAGTTTGTTCTGTTCCTGTCTCAGAGAATACAATCATTTTCTTCATTGAAATTGGCATAAATCAGCAAAGATATTGAAAGAAAAAGAAAACATTTTTCTATGATCTCGTCATACATTCTTTTTCTTTTTATCTTTCAGTATCATCCTTTTTACCTCCTCTTGTTTTTTGGGGTTTTTTTTTTAGGGAAGATGAGAGAGCATGGAAATATACAAAAAAGGGAAAACAGAAATAGCAAACAGAAAAAGAATGATTATTTTTGGATTATCATTTTTGTCAATGGTTTTCAGAACATTTTGGCTTTTAAAGGTGAATCTGTAGTGCAATCTTCTTTGTGACTAAGGTTAGCCTTCTTCCTCTTTTTGGGAAACTCCTAGAGGCCCTAATTATTGCTGAATTGGTTCATCATCTCTGATCACAGGGCTTTTTCTCAGACAAGCAATACAACTTTCATTTCTCCAGATCAATTGCTTATGGACTAACGATATAATGCTCTAGATAAAAATGGTGAGGCTCAGGTTGTAGCATTGGACATCTCAAAAGCCTTTGACAGGCTGAAAAGCTATGGTATCTCTGGGCATGTTTTTGAGCTGATCCAGTTGTTCCTATCAAATCATGAAATGAAAGTTCTCCTGAACATCCACTCATCTACATCCTTTCATACTAATGTGGGTGGTCCCCCAGAGAACCATCCTTGGTCCTACACTGTTTTTAATCTTCATTAACGACCTTCCTGATGACCTCAACTTGGCATTTACACTGATGGCATTACCATTTACTCCTGCCTTGATAGTAAGGTTGATCAGTCAGACAAGGTCAAAATGGCAACCAATATACAAAACGACCTCAAGACCATAATTAAATGGGGCAAAAGATGGCTTGTCAATTTTAACACATCCAGAACTAAACTGCTCTCCATTAATCATCTGAGAGACCCCTCTCTGCCTTCCATCAGTATGGCTGATGCTATCCTCCAAGGAAGTGACTCATTGTGCTTTCTTGGGCTAACATTCTCAGCTGACATGAAGTGGAAAGACTACACTGAATCCATCACTAGATCAGCTAAGAAAGTTGGTTTACTGTGTCAGGCGAGACAATATTTCTCTCCAGAATCTGTAAGTCTACCTTTTGTCCAGGCTTAGAATATTGCTGCTATATATGGTCCAGTGCTCTTGCTATTTTCCTGGAGCTCCTTGATAAGACCCAAAGAAAAATCAGCAATATTATTGGTCCTGATCTGGCATTTCAGCTTCAGTCACTTGCCCACCAATATAAGGTTGCCTCTATGCTTTTTTTTTTTTAAATAAATACTTTCATGGTAATTGTTCAGATGAGCTCTTTGCTATAGTACCTAGACTGATGAATTTAAGTGCAATACTAGAATGACAGCAAGATCAATTTACAGTTGAGCTAGCTAGATGTAGACATAACCTTTATATTAACAGTTTCTTTTCTCAAACTTCTTGCTTGTGAACTCCCTCCTGGCACCTTAATTTCCAGCAAAATTTAATCTGCAAAAATTTAAATGCAATGTTGATCACTATCTACCATCCTCCTGACTGCTCTTTTCTCTCTCTTATTACTATGTTTCTGTTCCCAATTTCTCCACATCCTATAATCCTTTGTGTGCTAGTGGTAGCACAGCCTTGCTTGATTAAAAAAAAAATTCAAATTAATGGTATTTCTTACTAGCAGTGGCTACAATGACAATTATGGAACATGTCTTTTTTTCTTGTTGATACAATTTTTTAAGTGAAAATTAGATGTGTAAGATTGAACCCCATAGATTTCAATGGAAAGTGCTAGAAATCTCACAGACAAATAATTGCTGCATTTGGTGCTAATTTTCCTATAGTCTTCTTAGAGAAACCTGTTGAATAAATGTATTTACTATTTTCTGGTTTGGAATGCGCCCTCCCCCCCACCAAAAAAAAAAAAAACTAGATAACTTTTTCTTTCCCCAATTGTTTGTACACTTGAAGACTGAATCATACTAACAAAACTCTGAATGATTTTGATTTGTGGTTGCTGTGTTTTCTCCAGTTTCATTTGCAATATCCACTTAACAGATGTTAGAAGGATTTTCATTAAATGAAAACCATCTTGTAATTTCATTAACATTTGAAGCAATCTGAACAGTAATGACTCAATAATGTTTTGGGATCACTTATTACATGATCAGCATGCCATTGCATCATCAGCACATTAATATAATAAAATACAATAACAAAAAACAGTCATATGATACAGAATTTATTTTTCTTGATTTTCCATATCCTTGTTTCTAAAGCAGAGAAAGTCTTTTTCATAATAATGATAGAAATAATCATGAAAATATTAATTCATCCATCACATCTGTTAATCAAATATTGATTACTTATGTAATTAAGTATCATGCTTTATCTTATTGTCTGGAGAAAAAAGGATCTAAACTTCATGTAAGATCGATTTTAAATATCATTTCATACATATAACTATGTAATTATTAACATAAGCCTTATAATTCAAGATATTAAAAATTTCTGTAAAAATAGTACACAAAATCAAATAAATTAATGTTAATAAATGTCTTTTTTATGACATAGATTTAAATATATTTTGTTATAATTATTCAACATCTTATATTTGCAATTTACAAAATATCCACTTTAAATTCTGAATGTCAGAGACAAAAAAAAGCTTACAGGTTAAACAATGACAAAATGTAAAGTGATTTGTTTTAATTGTCCATTCTTTTCAAAGAAGAGAAGAAATTCTCAGAGTGGACCAGATCCTGCTGTTAGTAGAAATGATTCCTGTAAAAGAAAGAACAAACAGCTAAAATAAATATAAACACGTAAATCTTAAGTGAAATGTTCAACAATGTAGCTGTGTTAATCAATCTTTTGAAAAATTATCATTTACTTCCTAAAATTTAGAAAATTCACTGAGGTTTAGATTAAAAGTAATTTTATATTTCTTTCATTAATTTTATAACATATTCTGATAGATTAGTAAAAATGTTTAGATTCCCCACCCCACCTCGTGAAACAAGCTTAATTATAGAGCAAATATATAATAGTTATCTATGAATAAAAATACTTGTTGCATGTTTAGGCAGCTAGTTTCCTCTGAAAACTTAAATGAAACTAAATTCACAATTTACTAATTACATTTATTATTCATATAATTCTCAATTTTTAGCAAGCCTCTGACATTGCCATTGTTATAAATAAAGTGTTTTATATATTTATAAAACCAACTGAACTTTGAACTTATTTTGAAAAGCTGAGAAGATATTTTCTTATATTTTCAGAGACATAAACTTTTGTACATATTGGTGAGCTGAATTTAGTATCTGCAAATCAATAGAACAATAGTTTCTACTTCTTATGAAAGGAGCTGAGAGTTTGTATTTTGTTTTCACTTATCTGCTTTCAAAAAAGATCTATTATTTTTTTTGTAAAATTAATCAGAACAATTAAGTAAATATTTTCATGAAAAAAAAAATAAAAGGAATATTTTGCTTTTGACAAACCTTTATTTCTTGTGCAGGCTAGAATAATTTTGATTTCATTTTTGCTTGCTTTTTAGGCAAGTTATTTCTTATTCCTTCCTTTACAAGATATATTGAGTTTTGGAATAAGTGGGGTGGGTGCGGATTTTTTTTTTCAAAATCTAATAAGCTTGAGAAAGGTGAAAAATATGAGGAGTTGGCAGGACTAATGTAAAATTTAGTTTATTTGAATGTATGTAAGCACATAGCAAATTTTTAATGAGAGTTTTCTTCTATATAAAAGTTTTTTTTAATGCAAATAAGTATAACACTTACAAGTACATTTTTAATGTTTTTCATTTATTATTTTTTTCATGGATTGTCATGTGTTGTTACATATGGCCATAAACTGATTGTGAAAAACACGAATAATGTTAAAGTTTCACTCATCAAGCACTTCAAATGTTCTTTTCTCAAGCATATATTTTAAATTACTTTTAAAATAACAAGGAAAGCCACCATATAATGTGACTAAAATATTTTTATTTGTTATGATCAAATTGATTTTTCAAATTCAATGAAGTTTTAGAACCTGTATCAAATCAGTTTCATAATTCTAAATGATCATCTTTTTTCTATGAAGTTTTCACAAAAATAAGTTAGGACAGGAGATCAGAATAAAAATGGAATCAAATTTTTTTTCAGAAATTAATAATCTTGGGAGAACGATTATTACAAACCCAAGAGTAAATAGTTGTTGAATACATCATTTGATGGGATTTGTTCTTTCAAGAAATGTAATAGTTTTTCTTGCTTTGATTAATGATATCATTGACATATTAGTGTAATATTAGTAAATCATATCTACCACAAATGTGCCCTATTTTATTCTTCTAAATTGTATACAATGAACATAAAATCTTTAATTTTATCCTTACTTTCTATAAACATGAAAAATTTAGTGTTATGAAGCATCTTTTTCCCAAAGGAAATATATCAAATAAATCAGCAAAAAAAAAAAATAAATAAATAAATAAAATAAAAAAAAAACTCACTATAAGATTATAGAATTTGTTGGTGACAACCTTCTCAAAGAATTTCTGTTCTTTCTCATATATTGTAGAATTGGTTCCCTTCAACCGAATCTTTTTTTCAAAATTCTCAAGAACAAGATCAGAAAATTTTTTTCCTCTTCTACTTTTGGCATTTCCACGATTGGATTGCAGCCTTGACTTTAGATTGGATTTTCCAGAGACAATGGCCTTCAACAAGTCTTCATGCAACTGAAAGAAGTTGTAGAATTATGTTTTGATATTCTCATTATGATCACAAAATTCTTAGGGCAAATATTCTGACTAAGAATTTATCTAAACTCAATATAAAATTTGTCATAACTACATCTAAAACAATAAAAGACTTAATCAATGCAAAATAAAACAATAAGCCAAAATTTGAAGGAAAAATTTACTCTATCACCAGTAAGGATTGCCAGAAAGAATATATTGAAGAAACCTCAAAAAGTTAAAAAAAACAATTAAATGAACACAAAAGGGACATTTAAAAAAATACAATTTTGTCATACATTTTTCCTATAAAATTGCTCTTGATACATAAAAATTTATGTGTTGTTATCCATTAAGAAGCAATAAAATAAAAGAGCAAAACTCACTTAAACAATAATAATAATTCTCTTAAGAAATTCAAAAAAATTTGTGACTACTAGTACTACATGATGTAAACAAACAATATGGCATGTAGTACAAATTAGATAATAAAGAATATAGTTAGCTACTATATTTGAAAAACATCTACTCATTAACTGTTGTAGCCTAATTTGTAAAGTGCTCTTCAGGCCTAATAGACCATCAAAGATAAGCGATAAGAGTTCAAGTTTTGTTGGAAACTTATGTTGTTTTCAGTCCATGTTACTTGGTACATGGAGTGTAAAAATATCTTCAGCAATATAATAAAAGGATTAATGCAAAAGAAATACCAGTGCAAAAATGCTCTTTTTATCACTAAATGCAAACAGCAATGTAGCAGAGTTGTGACTTAATCACAGCATGATAATTGAATCTTATGACAGTCATTGTTTTGCATATACAAAATAATTGTTAATGAGTTGTTGCAAGGCTTTGTCAGCCTAGAAACTAGTGGCACCTATATATTAATATCAGATTACACCACACTTATGTCTGAATAATGGAGAGAATTTTTATAATGAAATAATTGTAAACATATTAAAAATCTGACAAGCTGAAATTGAACAATTAAATGCTTACAGGCATTGATGGCACGTCTTCCAAATGAAAATGTCCATCCCATAATGATACCAGAAGACTGCTGTTACTCTAAAAGTAGAAAAGTAACAATTGCAAATTACAAAAAACAAATGAATGTATCTATCAGAGCACAAAAACTGCACAATGGTAGTTCTTATCCATGCCAATTATATTCCCTTTTCAAATAATGGCTTTAAAGATAGAAATTTGAATCCTAAAATTAATCATCACTTGATTTTTCTCAAAATCAAGCATTAATTCTGCTCATGTTAATGTTACTGAAAGTATTTTTCATCAAATTTTAAAAAAAAATATTTTTAAACAAAGAAAACTATTTGTTGCTGACATCTCTTGACATATGTACATAAGAGCCATAATATTTTAATAATAAGCCTCACTAATTTGGAAATGATGGCAGAAATTTTCATGTATTAGCTGCCAAATAATGAAGGAAATTTAGACTAAAAGAGTTTCAAAATCTTGAAACTTTCATCAACAGGTGAGAAGAAGAGTATTTATTATGAAATAGACAATTTCAGAAGGGTTTTTGTAGTAAGAAATAATTTTCTAGTTTGCTACAGAAAGAAAATTTTCAAAAACATGAATTCTCAGATCACAGAAAATAGTGTTTAGGATATTTCAGTTTCTGAAATTTATTTGAGCAATCAAAAAACTTACATAACCCAAATTATGTTAATTCTTTGTACAAATCCTATTTAAATTAAAATATCCAATTCTTTTTTAATATAATGTCCACATTGGCAGTTTGTCATTTTCCTTTGTTTTGGATGAATTTTACAAATGCATCATTTTCTGTCTTAATTTTCTGAAGAAAAAAATTATTTGAAAATTTTAAACTAAATTAAAATATTGTTTTAAAAATATTTTTGGCACTTCATCTTGACTTCCTTATAAAGAATGCTTTCCAACAAAGTTAAAGAAAAACCAGTCAAATGGCAAAAACTAACAAAAAATTGACTATTTCAGGCAAGAAACAATAAATTTTTAATAATTTATTGTTGTTATTAGAGAAAATCCTACTTCATTTAATTTTATTTCACAATAATGTATAAAGGGGTGCTGAAAAGTTCTTGGCTAGGAACCACTTCTCAAAATCTGATCAAATGTCAGAATTCTTTTTTATGAACAGGTCTTCTCTGTCAAGCCAAGAAAATTTCAGAACTTTCATACATTGTATATAAAAGTGTGCAATAATAAATCCATTGCCCATGAACTTATAAACACAAATAATGGAATATTTTTCAGTAAGACAACCATTTTGTAAAGTTCAATGTTGATGCGCCAGTACAAGATCACTAGAATGAAGATCTTGAAAGATGTAAGAAAATGAAATAGGTTTAATATGTGTTATTCCATAAGTAGAAAACTCTTGTTTTCATAAAAGCTTTTCTTCTTACAGAATTTCATTTTGGTTATGCTAACCTTTTTGTTTTGTAGTTCTGAGAGCAAAACTGAAGAAGAGGATTCTGTACAAAGTTGCTGCAAAGTTTCAAGAGAAGGTCTGCCAGATACTAAAGGAAGATGGTGGTATCCCATTTGAACAGCATATCTGAAATAAATAAATCATTAATTTTATTAGTAGGAACTGTCCAAAAAACAAGACTGGAGATTTTTAGGAAGCTGCTTTTGTTTTTTTTTCTTATGAAATAAAGCATTGAATAAATTTCCATTATACTAAGTGATAAGTCAAATCATAGCACTGAAGAACAAGGTTCAAATACTCATTCATATAGAAACTTTACTTTCAATTTAATGATTTCTAAAGACATGAATATAACCTTCCCTAACCCAAGTTCTATCCTATTACTACTCATCTTCAGTATACTTTTCTGAGAAACCTCAAACACAATTTTCTCTCATCCCAACATTCTGCACAATTGCTGTGACAATTTGTCATCATGAATAATTTTGATTTGGTATTTGAAGACTGTTGCTTTCTGCGACATTATGGCTGCCTTGGTGGGAGAATAAAAAAAAGAAGTTTGCAAGACAGATATCCAAAACTGTTTCTTGGAAGTGTTTACACTTATTAAGCTTAGTTTAGCACAAGATCAGATGGCTTGCTGACTTAATGCATGCTATTTTCACCCATGTATATATGTTTTAATTTGCACATGGAAATATCCAACCACAATCAGGTATTTTGCAATCATTTTGTAGTTGTCATCTGGCAAAGGTGGCAGACTTGTGAGTTTACTAGCTACATCAACATTTTCAAAGCTATCAGTGAACTTCATACACATTACCTTTTTGATATGATCTTCTTTGGGAAAATACAAAACCATGATGGCCTCTCTTTATTGTAGTCCACAAAAATAAAGTTCTTACTACTGGTGTTAAGATTTCTTTTTCTGAGTACATCAGCATAGCATATTGTACCAAATATATGCATTTTATTGACACTTGGTTTAATACCAGTTCTGTTGCTCCTGTTTTTCTAACTCTCAGATTGTAACACCTATTTGCATATATATGTAGAAGCCATAGTTACATACATCCACAATCTCTTTGGTAATTTTCCTCTTATTAACAGACACCTTGCCATTTAAAAAAGTGTCTGCCAAGTTCTTTTGACTGCCATTTTGCTGTGGTGAATAGGCAACAATTTTTTTGTGTTTTATATTCTTCTTGATAAACAATGATCTGAATTCTCTGTTCGTAAACTGTCCCATTTTTACATAATTTTGCACATTCAAATGGTGTAATCTCTACTAAATACTTTTCAATGGATCTTAGGATATCAATTTTTGTTTAAAAAATAAGTCATTATTAGATCAGAATAATCTTCTATAAAACTTTGAATATATCAATAGTCATCTTTATTGATAAAATCTATTATTCCAGTCAAAATCACAATATAACACTAATTATCAATTTTGTATGTGCCAAAAAGTAGATGTTATCAGGTTTCTGGTGAAAAAAAAATGAAATTTTTAGGCGGCCAACCACATAGAAAAATTGAGAAATATTATCTTCAGCCCCTAAAAGTAGCAAAAAGTGGCACAATTTGAAAATTTGAATAAATCCCAACAAGTTTCATTAACTGTTTCTCAAAGCTACCAAGTCTTGTTCTCTTAATAGTTTTTTTCTCAAAAGTTTTGACTCATGGTAATTTTGCAATTATGATGATCTAATATTGACTCATTCAGCTAAAGGTGATGAAGTCCATAGATAACAAAACATCAGAAAAACATTACATAACAATTTGGGGAATTGATTCCTTAGTTTTAACAATTCTCCCTTTTTATGGGTGTTTGAATATGCATTGCAAAAAAAAAAAGAAAAAAAAAAAATTATCATTAGCATCCACTTCATCCATTTTCTTTACAGACTGAACATAAATCTGTGTTAACACAAAATTCCAATATCACATGAATCAGCCATGTCTATACTGAAGATCTGGAAATAAAAAAAGCTGAATTTATCAGAATTTTTGAGCACTGAACTTTGCAAAATTTCTCTAAATGTATAAACTTGAAAGGTAAGTATAATCTATCAATCAAGTCATACAAGTAAACATATCTTTAAGTATAATCTATCAATCAACTCATACAAGTAAACATATCTTTAAGCAAAGGTGATATAATTTACATTTAATGATTCAAAAAATAAGCATTAGGCTAGAATTAGTTCAGCCTCTGTAATTGGGCCCATAGAAGTTTCTTGTGGCAAGTTCTTATATAAAATTGTATGTGACCACCACAGTAACTACTACCAGTTCCATCAAATCTGTGTAAAAAAAAAATCCAGAACTATGTTAAGAAGTTTCAAGGACTGAAAATGGCACACACTCAAACACAAAGTGAATGGTCATCTATTTCAAAAACACAAACTTTGTGATTTATCTTCTAATAATTTGACAGATGAGATGTTCAAAGAAAAGCTACAGCTGGTTCCAATAATTCATGTCACATGGATCAGTCAAAAGCAGTGAAGAAATCAAAATGTTGAAGGCTAAAACACAACTGAATGCAGACCTGGTTATGTTACACATTCTGTGCAGCATTCTAAACAGTTTGAAGTTCTCCTTTGAAAATTTTGAATTACACACTTTAATTCTTACTGCTACACATTTCAGCTATCTAGACTTACCCATGGTTTGTGAATGTCACAAAAATTCTTGATTACTGCACATTTTCTGTAAAGTATAATGGTTTTAATGAACTACAAATAGAAATTTTAAAATAAGGACAACACATTTTAGTTACCCCTACTACTCATGATTTACATTGCACATGGTACAAAACACAATGGTGTTAACTTTTTTTCAGTTCATCTATTTTAGCATTCAACTCTTCTTCCAATTTTGATATCTTGTTCTTTGCAGCTATTCACATGGTATTGGACTTTGCAGTAAATGAAGTTCTGAGTCTGCTCAACTTTCTCTGCATAGCTGTCAGCTGACTTGAGCAAATCTTGTGTGTAAGTTTCAAATTTGTGTTTTTTGCTCTTCAGTTCAATTTCCATAAGCATGGTTTTCCATTTTTGTCCAGCTGCTTCTTCCTTCCTTTTCTTCTTCTCAGCCTCAAGGCATTGACTGTATGCTGTTCTGGTGTTGGAAGCATTGCAGAGAAGAACCTTAGTCATAGGAACATTCCCAGACCCTCCAACTGTGGCCAAATAGTCTGTGATCATGCACTATGCAACCAGAGTCTGATATTTCATATTGTCAGTGGAAATTTCCTTATTGACTGAGAAACCTCTCTCCACTGAAGCCTGTACATGAGAGAGTACCAGCAATTTGTAAACAACTTTTCAGTTTTTGATATTCTTTTTTGCTTGACAAAGAAGAGTAGAACAAAGTGTCCAGACGGTCTTCATGCTGGCTGAAATTCTTGAAAGCAATATTTCCAGCAGCCTCCTCCTCGAACACTTTGTACTGACTGATGATGTCATCACAATCAGACTTGCTGACTTGTTTTCTGCCCATCATGTTGGGAAAGACATCTTTTAGACTGTCTCTGTGTCAGATTTTTTTTCACAAATGGTTGCAGAGTTTAGCCATGCAAGTGACCTTACAAGAGGGTATCTAAAGGGAGATTTTGACTGAAATTTCTCAGTGATGATGATGAACATTATCTTTTTTACACTTCTGCATGCAAACAGATCTTTTGTTGACACATTTCCTTTTTTAAATAAATTGTGAATCACCCTATCTACCAGAAATCCACAATCTTTTCAGCATCTTTATGCATGATTGGGTTTGACAAAATTCTTATATATTCATTCAATTTGGAAAATGTAATTATCTTTTTAGCGTGTGCTTCCTTTACAAATCTTCTTGGCAGTTTCATGATCATGCTAAAAAGATAATCTACAAGCACCTGAAGCAACAGTTTATTTTATCAGAAATGGTTCAATGTTGAAACAGACACAAAAATCTGCAGTTTCACTGGAAATAAAATATCATTCATGTTTGACAGCACTGCAGAGGAGGACCTGGTCTGGGTGACATTTTTCTGTCTTTTTTTTTTTTTTTTTTTAATTAAGTTCACAAATTTTATGACATCTGGCCAAATGTCCAGGTGTTGTACATGTGTTTGTATATTTTCAAGCCATCTATGGCAGAAATACAAAAGTAAAGTGACAGAGTTGCCAGATTGAACTTTTAAAGTCAAGCAATAAAAGACAAATAAGTTTTAATATATTTCATCATTTTTTTTTCCCCACAACAAAAATTAGAGATACAGGTTATTATTAGTCTGCAAACTTTAAAAATAACATTCTTATTTTTTCAGCCACATTTTCTATATAATCCTAAGACACATCAAAGGCACATTTTCTATTCTATCATCCTTCTCATCTATTTTCTTTGAGTCAAATTTGATTCTCAAACTTGTTACTTTTGGCAACAATATAGACAGACATAGTTTACAGACATACACATTGACATGGGACATGTAAATTGTATATTTTTTCAGCATGAACTCACCCACTGCTGACTAGAGATCAAGAGGAATTTTTATGTTTGAAATTGAAATGTGAATAAAATAATCAATTGTACAAATTTAAAAAAAAACCTGATAAATTTTTTGTGATTCTTCTAAAATATATTTTATTACTGTAAAATAATTTATTTTATTTTCAGTTACAAATTCAATGAGTGTGAATTAATTTATCTTTAACAGAGATGTTTTACTTCTCTCTGACACCTTTTATCTTTGCTTTTTCTCTTTTCTTGTTGAGTGAGGGTAGCAGCCATCTTTTTCTCTTTCTTTCTTGTCATCTAGATGAGAAAATACAGAAGTAACTATGAGGTCATGAACTCGTTCTAATCAAGGAAACAAACCACTGTAACTCCACAAGTTGACCCTAGTCAACAGTAACCAATAATGTAGACCATACCCCTGCATTGGTCTTCAAGTTCCTTCAGACCACTGTAGTTACCATCTAGCTGACTCCTTACTTGTTAATACTTGGCTTGTTTGTTGCTGGTATCATGTTGATGGGCACAGTTCTACTCAATTTACCTGGCGTTTGTCTGTTCATAACCATTCACTCCTCTGCCACATTGTGTTTTTTGATCTCAGAGGATGAGAAGATTGCTAATGAAACAAACTAAAGTGAAGACAGATTGACAGCTGAGGGCTATACAAAAAAGAAACCTTTGGAATAAAGAATTAACTTGGGTTAAAAATATAAAAAATGATTTGTTGCATACAGTAGTTTTAACCCTTCCCACTTACTGTTATAATCAAATGACAATGGGATCACATTTGGAGTCTGCAGCTTGTGTTAGTAGTAACTTAAATTTCTAAGTTCTGGTCTTCTAAATTCTGTAATCTGTGACCAAAGTAGTGTGTTTTGACTGGTGCATTTGGAACTCATAACACCTGCAAAACTTTTAGTTGATGCAATCAAGTGCAATGATACATATAAAGAGTGCGATGATACATATAAAGACTTGATTAAATCGTTTGTATTACAGACAATTGCTGAATATATGCTGCATAGATATACCCCAAAATTGAAGTTCTCACAACCCATTTAAAATACTGATTGAAAGATTGATGATTAGAAAGAAATCAGCTTTTAACAGTAGGAATCAACAGATTGTGCAAAACTTGTCACACATTTGATGTCCATCAAAGATTTTAAAAAGTTACTAATGAGTACAATCCATAACCTCACTAAACATTCTTTCATTTCTAAAACAGAGTGAATCTATGTTGATTTTGCAGAAAATCACACATTTTTAGTACAAGATGAAGTTACCATTGGAACAAAGGGCAATGTTCCATTCACCCAGTGTGTATCTACTACAGAACTGGCAAGTTAAAGTGTCTTTGTATTTTATCAGATCATGATCATGATGTAGCATTTGTTTACTGTGTTTAAAAATTTATAATATCCTATATTAAAGAATATCTTCCAAAAGTTAAGTTTGTGATATATTTTTATGATAGGTGCCAATGCAAAAACTATAAAACTTCCTAAATTTCTTCTTCCATAAAAATGATTTTGGCCTGGATGTTGAATAGAGATTTTTTTGCAACAAGTCATGGAAAGTCTACTTATGATGGAATTGGTGGCACTACTAAATAACTTGCTGCAAATGAAAACATCAAACCACAAGAAATAAAATCCAGACTGTTGAGGACGTGTTTCATTTCTGTCAAGAAAGCATAAAGAATATCATCTATTTTTTGCTATTCTATAAAAGGATTAAAAACCACAAGAAAACATTTGTCCTTTAGATTTACTGATGGACACACAATTCCTGGAACAAGGTCTTTTCATCACTTTATTCTTGGAGATGGCACTATTATCATCTACAAAATATTTAGTTGTGATAAAATCACAAAGAAATTTGATATTTTATTGTCAGGAAGCATCTTCATACCCATTAAAACAATGGAGTATGTAGCATGTATTTATGATAATTTTTGGTAGGTTCTTGAAATTGACACTGTGACTTAAAAATACAGTTTCTACATCCTGACAGACCAGCAAATCCTTTTTCCTGGCCAAGGCATGAAAACATATGCTGGGTTCCTAATGATAACATATTGTGCAATCTTTCAACTCCAGCTTTAGGACACATGTACATCCTCGAATGAGGAATATGATATCAGAGAATAACTGGATTGAGAAAATGAATGATTCATAGTTTTATCTACAAACTAAATTCAAAATTTATTTTATAATTTGTTGTTACATTGAAGGTATAAAGTCTATACTTTGCAATTAGATAAATATTTCAATTTCAAGTACATTTTATTTTTTTTTTTATCTCAAATGATTTATCTTGCACTCTGCTTAAAAAATAATAATTATAAATTTAGATCTTCATCTTTCTTTCTTTCTCTTTAAGCTTTTAAAATCTTGATCAGGGAAATGTTGATGCAATTCGGGAAATTTTGTTTTCATGGTAGAGTTGGGCTATATTTGCATTTAAAATTTTTTTTTTATTTTTGCAATGCATATTCAAACATAAACATTGAAATAAAAAGAGAAAATTGTTAAATGTTAGGGAATTAATCTCCCCAAATATTATGTAATGTTTTCCTAATGTTTTGCTACCTATTTACTTCATCACATTCAGCTGAATGAGTCAATATTAGAAGACCATAAATGTGAAATTACCATAAATGAGAAGTTTTGAGAAAAAATCTATTAAAAGGTCTAGAATTGGTAGCTTTGAGAGACAATTAATAAAACTTGTTGGGATTTATTCAAGTTTTCAAATGTTCTACCTTTTGCTACTTTTAAGGGATGAAGATGATATTTCTCAATTTTTTTTATGTGGTTGGCTGCCTAAAAATCTCATTTTTTTGCAAGAAAACTGATAACATCTACTTTTTGGTTAAAAATTCTAATATTTGGATTCCTTGACTAAAAATCTATAAGTGTATCAAATTTCATTAGTTTCTGGCTGGTGGATCAAAAGATATAAGGGTTTTTGTGAGATCATTGAGTCTGAAAATAGAAATGTCTATCAACGGAAAATGCAGATTCAGCAAAATTTCAACTTATGATATTTTGAGAACAGTTAGGAATTTTTACTTATAATTTTCAAGTTTTTTCTAATGACTATAAGATCTACAACATATATAAAAATGAAAAAAAATATATTTGTGCCTTACATTTTTTACTGAATTAACAATTCAAATCAATTGCTAAGTGTGCAGCTAAGAAAGTGCATTCACTATGCCATGCTAGATAATTTTTCACACCAGAATTCAGAATCTATCTTACATATTTATAAATCTACCATCTATAAGTCTTGCTTTGAATATTGCTGCCATAGCTGCTCCTGCTATATATTTAGAGATACTTGATAAAATTTAAAAAAGAATCTGCAATGCTATTGGCCCTGATCTGGCATCTCTGCTTCAGTCCCTTTCCCACCACTGTAATGTAGCTTCCCTGTGCCTTTTTTATAAATACTTTTATGGTAAATGTTCTGATGAACTTTCTGCTATAGTACCTTGAGTTTAGGAATTTAAGCACAGTATTAGATTGATGGGAAGGTCTCATCATTTTACAGTTGAAAGGGTAACAGTAAATTCCATGCTAACAGTTTCTTCTTTTGCACTTCTTGCTTGTGGAACTCTCTTCCAGCTTTAAAAATTTAAATACAATGTTAATAGTTATCTTCTGTCTTCTTATTTCTTGTTATTTTATTATCCTTTCTCTTCAATAGTAGTTTTTCTCATATTCTCTTAGACTCAGTAACCCCTTTCATCCTTTATTGCCTTGCCTGGGATGAAATGATTAGAAAAAAATAAGACATTTTAACTCAGCATAGTTTGCACCAAATTTGACATTTTCAGCTGTCATGGAAAATGTGTCTTGTTTGAAAAATAGAACAAAAAAAGAGGTATACAAAAAACAATTTTGCCATTTATGCCCTACAATGACATGAGCAATGACTCTCACTTATTTTTTTTTTTTTTTTTTTAATTATTTTCCTACTTCTACAAGTTCCATGAACTGGTTATTGGGGTCAAAATCTTTGTCAAATTTTGTAAATTTGTTTTCATCCATGTAGGTTGTTGCTCTGCAATACATTAACATCCCATTAGTGCTACATTTTATATCAATTCCCAGTGAAAATACAAAAATGTTGTTAGAATTGTCTACATTTTTATAAAATATTTTTGTTTTGGCAGTTCATGGCTCTGTGACCCTTTTTTTCTATACACAGTTCTGTTACATCTGTCTAGAGATTGTCTTGGTTGTCCTTTATTACTGTTAGACATAAACAGTAGAATCAAAATAAGAACATGGTGCCCCCATAAAGGGTTCAATTCAAAATTCCCTGACAGTTACCTAAGATCAAAACATCTGACACTAACAACAAAGATAAGGGCATTGGTCTGACTGAAATAATGTAAATAATGCATTTAACATCATTTTATATAATTTTATATTTCAAAACATTTACAGTGATTACATAGAAAAAAAGTAAACAAAAACAATTTAAGTTTTTGTTTTGAACAAATATAAGCAATATTAACAATATTTATGCCCAAAGGAAAAAGAAAACAAATAAAATCATCTCCTGTGATTTTAAGACTCAAATTTTGTTACAATCATATTTTCTTTTTCTAAAATTGGTCCAATTTTCCCAAACTCTTTCCACTGTGTTATATTAAGTAATACATACATATTTAAAACTTTACTTGAACTCTATGTAGAAAACAAGCCATAATTGTAATATGAAAAAGAAATAATGATAGTTTAACAAAGAAAACTTTTAGGGAATCATTTTTCTAAATAAAACACATAATTAGCTGAAATTTTAAAGTCTTTTAGATTAACTAAAGAGAGTTTACAAACACTTTTATTGTTTGCTTCAAAAGATAGGTTAGGATAAATTTAAAATGTTACCTCAGGATAAGATTTAAAAAAAAAGAAGATTTTTAAAGAACTAACTTGTCAAATAAGTTGAAAGCTGTCCAAGCAATAACCGCATCATCATTAAATTGGATGTCTGTCCCATCAGGTGAACAAATAATACCAGGCTGATTGTGATCTTTGCTTGGATGATAGGCAACTCGTATCCCTACCAACTGAAGTACAAGGCATGTGTTTTCATTGTAGATTGGATGCAGCAACTGAAATAACATTGAAGACATTATTAAAGAGAATCTAATACAAATTTACAGTTTAGTTAATGAAAAGAAATTTCATCAACACAATCACATCAACCAACCTTTTGAAGTTAGCTGATGTGAATGTCATTCTGTTTATCTCTATAAACCTTTGTTTAATACAGCAGAATTCATTGCAATGACAATTAAGAACTAAATGTTTTCAGTTAACTAATGTTTTTCTTTTCTAATAAAGGAAGGTAAACGGGATGAAGGTTAAATAGAAGAAAAATAATCATCAATATTGGCCGAAATATAATGCTACTTAGAAATAAAACTAGAAATTCAGACTAATTTTCAGAATGCAGCAAGTTATTTGGCATATAAACATATAATTCACAAAATTTTAAATTTATCATTTTTCAATGAAGAAATGTTATTTGAAAGATAAATGATAAAGAAAGCATTCTAAATAAAATATTTTATCAATGTTTTTCTGCTTAAGTTTTTTTGCAATAAAACTATGAATGAGAGAATAAAAAGTGTTATGTTTTTTTGAATCAGCATGCTCATCTTGGTTGTTATCCCCACAACATTTAAACATTATACTCTCTAACCTTCTGTCTAATGTACTTGGTAATGTTCTCAGAATGTTGAACCAAACCTTTTATTCAATTCATGCCACTTTCCATTTAGTACAGAAGGTTATTGAATATGATAGAACATCAAGGACAGAGGATACAACAGCTAAAATTTTGTGAGTATAACAACCAAAATCAACAAGCTGGTCAAAAGAAAAAGATATAATTGGTCATTTCAAAAATTCTGACATGAATCAAAGATTTCAAGAGGAACATACTGCAAAAATTGAATCTTTTATTTTTTACAACTAAGTGGTTAGTATTTGTTTTATTTGATTTTGACAAATAAGAACTTCACTTCTTTTAGAAAAGAAAGTTACTCAAATCGTATACCTGTTGAGCTTGCAGATAAGCTGGTGATTTTAGATTTTTGGGATGTATGCTATAAAAAAAAAAAAAAAAAAAAAAAAAAAAGAAACACACTCCAAAAACAGTTTAAAAAGATAATTATATGTACACAAATCATTACAAAGACAAACAATATTTTCTGTTATATAATACATACCTGAAAACCTACTCCAACCTATGATTTTATTGACATTTTCAAGCAAAATTTTAGAAAGAAAAGTTGATGAAAAATACACTTATAAACACACACATTTAGATATACATACATATGTGACACCTTAAGAGGTTAAATGATGGATTACGGAGAGATGATAAATTCAGAGGGTTTTTTTTTTTTTAGTTTACAAAAACCATATAACGTAAGTTGTCAGCACTTGGACCAAAGAGTAAAGATATGAAGGCTTCCAATGACTAAGTCCAGAATGGAGGCTGGCTGGGAGTGGAGTGGCTTTATTGTTGTTTTTGAGATTCTACTCAAAAAGAAAAGCCATCTGGATAATTTGACCCCATAATGGTGTAAGGTTGAAATGGAGATGCGAATGTTTTTAAAATCCAAGTTATGGAATTATCTACTAGACAAGAACCGATAAGGAAAAGTCAGTTGTGAGATAAAATTTGGGATTTTTGATGAAAATTTTTAAAAAAGGCAAAGTTGGAGAATTGTAATATTTTTTGTCACTTGCCAACAAGTGTCATTGGTCAAAACTGCCAAAAAAGCTGTCATGGGGACACCTGGTAAATGTCCAACTGAGAGAATGGTGTTTAGGTCAAGGAAATATTGTTGAGGAAAATTTTGAGCAATAATTAAAATTAATAATTGAAGTTAAACCATGGCTGCTCTTCATACCAGAAAGAGATCGGATTGTGACAACTGAAGTAGAACAGCAAGGAAGACAAGAGGAATTGCCTACACTCCTTGGGCAGCATTGGCATGAGGCACCAATATGAGAAGGAAGAAGTTAAGGCAGATCAATGTCCTGCAACCACTACTCATAGAAGAGGGGATCTCCCCAAAGTTGAGCATGCAATTAATCTCCATGAACCAGACAAAATGGGCTCTTGTTGGCAATTAGGAGAATCACCAGAACACCAAGCCATGTCAGACCCCATGCTGGTTTTGGGTGAAGGTTCATATAAGCAGAAGATCAAAGCAACTCAGAGAGTAGTCCCACATTGTGACAACAGAAAACCTACCAAGAATGGTGATATATTGTAAAAGCCTGTACATAAATTTACCATGTTTGAACTAGTGATCGAAGTACTTTCTAGACATTTTCATCTCAATGGATTATTTTTCTTATTTAATCAAAGTAGCATTCCCTATGTCAAAACTGTGGTCAGTTTCATAACATGAACAACCAATGCATTTTTATGTATTGTTTTTAAAAACATCCCTTTTGTGTTCATACAGTTTTTTGTTTAAACTTCTTGAGATTTTTTTCTTCCAATGTATTCATTCTGGCAATTCCTGCACTTGACAGAGTAAATTTTTCCTTCAAGTTTTGTCTTATTTTGTTTTTACTGACTAATTCCATCACAACTACAACTGAAAAAGATTTATCTAAATTCATCATAAAACTTGTCACAACTACATCTAAAACAATCAAAGACTTAATCAATAAAAAACAAAACAGCAAACCAAAACTTGAAGGAATTTACAAATTTAAAAGAGAAAATGACCCCCTGAGATAAAAATGTCTAGAAAGTGCCACAGTGATTTTGCATTCAGGCTCTTACAATATATTGCCATTCTTGGTAGATTTTCTGTTGTCACAATTTGGGATAGTCAAGGACAAAATTGATGGAAAAAGAATACAGATGAATTTGGCTATAGTGATTTTCTAAGCATAACTTAGATGTGGCACCCAGTGAGGATTGAACTCACTGCTCAGTCGTAAATGATCTAGCAAGACAAGCTTCCTAACCATTACACTACCTTGAGGTGCCAAATGAATTTGGCTATATTGATAAAATATTCTTTCAAAAATTTTGAAACTCCCAGTTTTTCTCATTTTGTGTGCCTGTGTAGATGTGGCAACATCAACAAAGCCCAGTCCAATGAAATCCTAATGGATGAAATGCGCCACAAAAACTTTTTTCCAATTTGTCATACTATACACACATACATAGTGCGTAAAAACTGTCCAAAAATTCTGCATATCCAAGCACTTTCAGCTATTCCTTTAGCCATTATCAAGGGTGATTTTTTATTTATTTTTAACTGTGTTTTTTTTTTATGTATGTTTCTGAAATTATAGGAATGTTTTATTTTCAAAAGTATAATAGCCTCATTCACATGTAAAAAAAAAATTAAAAATAATGGAAGTCTAATGATAAAAAAGGAAAAGCCAACATACAATAACATTAACTATGAACATGGCCAGAAAATAAAACACTCCTTTGATAATGGCTAAAATAGCCAAAAGCACTTGAAAATGCAGAACTTTTGGACAGTTTGTACATACTTTGCATCCAGAAAAGAAAATACTTGTATGAATACAAGAAAAATTAAATAAAAAGCTTAATCACAGTATCTTGTCAGTCATATTTAACAAAATATGTATAAAAGAGTGATTGTTACCTAAATAAACTACATACACACAAAACACATATATATATATTCTCTCTATATATATATATATATATATATATATATATATATATATATATATATATATATATATATATTAGTAGAGCCCAGCGTTGTTCGGGATATAACAGTAAGAGAAAGATCAAGTATCCACCATCATAAAGACTGAAAAATAAAATTGACAAAGATTATTGTTTTAGGTTGACGGACATGAATGTCTTAATTAGTTTTTTTTTTTTTTACGAATTGGTCAAACTCAAACAAAAACATTGTTTTCAATTGTTATGAGTCTCCTGATTGAATAGAATAATTTTATAAACAATTGTCTTGTAAATGGAATTTTTAAAGCATTCTGAATGTAAAAATAAAGAAAAAAGTGTGCAAGACAATAAGAAACACTACATGCCAAAAAAAAAAAAAAAAAAAAAAGTGAAGTTTTGTTGAAATCGGTTGAAAAATGTAGGTAGCCTTTCTGTAATCTTTTAGTTTTACAATTTATGATTTTTACTTATTGAATACAGTAAAAAAAAATTGCATATTTTGATTGTGGTGATTCATAATTAGAATTTGATTTGAATATATTTTCCACTCGTTGTTTCTAATACAAAAAATATTAACTTTTATTTGGGTTTATTAATTATGATCTAACAAATCTTATTCATTTAGTAGCCTTTCTGTAATAATAATCTTTTACAATTTATGATTTTCACTTATTGAATACAGTAAAAAATTGTACACCATGTGTATTTAAAGTAGTTTCCCATTCCGTTATTATTTTTAGTTAGGACTTGTGTATGTTTAGATTTCATTATGTTTCCTAAGGATAAAGAATTTATTCCGATGTTTGTATTCGCACAATCAGTAGAGATCATTAGATTATTGTTTAAGGTTGACGGACACGCATGTCTTAATTAGTTTTTTTTTTTTTATTTTTTTTTTAATTGGTCAAACCCAAACTCAAACAAAAACATTGTTTTCAATCGTTATGAGTCTCCCAATTGAATAGAATTTTATTATAAATAATTGTCTTGTAAATGGAATTTTAAAGCATTCTGAATGTTAAAATAAAGAAAAAGTGTGCAAGAGAATAAGAAATACTACCTGCAAAAAAAAAAAAAAAAAGAAGTTTTTTATCGGCTGAAAAATATAGGAAATCCGCTCCCATATTTAAAGGAAACCACACACACAAACAACCCGATGTAAGTTGTCCCCTTCCATTTTCACGATGTCTCTTAATCGTGTTTTCAAATTGATTTTGTGCAAAAACAATTATATTTTTCCCATTTTTGGCGCTGTTAGAACCACCACAAGGTAATTTTATGTAGTCCTGGGAAGTTTTGTTGAAATCGGTTGAAAAATGTAGGAAATCCGATCCAATATATAAACGTTACAGACACACACACACACACACACACACACACAATCTGCGTTTTATAATAAGTAAGATATATGTGTGTGTGGTACTTAATGGAAAGTGCTCAATATCAGTGATAGCGCTAACATAACTGAATACTGATGGCTTAGGTGGAAAATCTCCAACTGTTGGCAAATCAGTTGGATTTTGACCCTGGCTTGAAACAATCAAATGTCTAGCCACACTGATGAGCTGTGATACAGCAAAACATTCTGTCTGTGGATGACAATATATATATGTGTGTGTGTGTGTGTGCATACATATTTGAACAGGAAAAGATCAGAAAACAATACTATAAATATTAATTTAATGATCCAATTCTCACCTTGGCTTCATCCTGCCAAACTGGACTGTGTAATTGACTGTCATAGTCATGTTTCAGAGTGACAAATTTATTTTCCTTCTCATCTTGTAAGATGTCAGACTTTTTGCCTGGGAAAACCTGACCAAAGCATTGCACATAAATATCTTCATCTAGATAAAGAAAATAAAAATATATCACATTAATATCAAAATTAATGCTGAAAAAAAGCTCTACGAGATAGGAATATTTTGAGATATTTCAAATACACATATAACTGCTTATCATTTTGTTATTTCTTTCAAAACTGTTATCTAACAAAAAGGAAGGAATATTTTGATTGGGAGAATATTTTGAGAAGTTAATATAGGATCTACATGGACATGCTAAAAACCATGGAATAGGTACTTCAAATTATGCAGGAACTTCTCTATCATCTAGCCCAGTGAAATGCAACAACTTGATATAGCATCCATACCACAAGTGATTGGAAGTCCTCTGATGAGATATTGAATCATGCCATCTTGACAGCATGCTCCTCAAACCATTTGTGGGCAACAGATAGAATAATCTATCATTGTTGATGTATATGGAGTCCATAAATAAGTGCAAATGGTCACAATGTAGCAGTTTATGGTTTTATGTGAATCAGTGAACACCACATATGCCTTGTTTCTGCTATCATCTCTAAACTGGATTCCCACAAAGCATGCTATCCCTGCAATAATCCTTAAGAAATGGGTTGCTGAACTGGTTCTTGTTCTCTCTAAACTCTACAATAAATGGCTTCTTGTTTCTTGCTTTCCTGCTTGTTGGAAATCCTCTTCTGTAGTTCCAGTCTTTAAGAACTTAGGCAAATTGTCTGATCCTTCTAATTAGCCTATTAGCTCTTCTACCTATTTTTGGTAAAGTACTAGAAGCTAACTCTGAATTGGTTAAGCATCTTAGCAAGCAGGGTCTTCTTTCAGATACTTAATAGGGCTTTCACTTCTGTAGGTCAACTACTGATATATTAATGATTATTACTGAAAGAGTTTAAGATAAGAATGCTGAAGCTCAGGCATTTAACAGGGGTTGGTATGCTGGTCTTCTTCACAAGTTCAATGGTTATTGTATTTCTGGACAAATTTTTTAACTGATTCAATCTTTCTTATCAGATTGCAAAATGCAAGTTATCTTGAATGGCCACTCTTCTAGATCTTTTTGCATTAATGCAGGTGCTCCCAGGACTATCCTTGGATATACATCAAAACCTTCTTGGTATCATCATTTCTCAACTCAGTATCTATGCTGTTGACAACTATTTACACTTGTCTTAATATTAAGTTTGATCAGTTTGATAAGGTTGAATTGGCAACTGAACTTAAAAATGACCTACAATCTGTTGTTAACTGGAACAAGGAATGGCTTGTTAATTTTCATGCCTCCAAAATGAAAATGCTCTCTTTTAATCATCTGAGAAAATAAATTTTGCTTTCCATCAGCATGGTTGATACTAAACTCATAGTGCCTTCTCAGGCTAACATTTTCCCACTGACATGAAGTGGAAAGATTATATTGAATCAATTGCTAGTTCTGCTGCTAGGAAATTTGGTTCATAGTGTCATGTCAGACAATTTTTCTCTTCAGAACCTATCATACATATTTACAAGTCTACCATTTTTCCATGCATTGAATATTACTGATAAAGTACAAAAGAATCTGTAATGTTATTGGCTCTGACCTGGCATCTCAGCTTCAGTCACTTTCCCACCACTATAACATAGATTCCCTGTGCCTTTTCTATAAATACTTACATGGTAATTGTTCTGATGAACTTTCCTCTATGGTACCTAGATTTTATGAATTTAAGCACAGTACTAGATTGACAGCAAGATCTCATCCTTTGACAGTTGAAATGGCTAGATGTAACCATAAGTTCTAAGTTAACAGTTTCTTCTCTTGCACTTTTTGTTTGTGGAAATCTCTTCCAGCTTTTTGCTTACCAGTCAATTTTGATCTTCAAAATTGTAAACACAATGTCAACTGTTATCTTTTGTTTTCTCATTCTTTTATTGTTCTCTCTCCTTAATTGTGTTTTTTTTTTTTTTTTTCTCATACTCAATAACTCCTTGCATCTTACTAGCTTGTTTGGGAGGAAATGATTTTAAAAAAATATATAAACACATCCTAAACCATTATGCAACCACCACCTAAGTGCATAGTGCCCTGTTGATTACTGGGGTCATTGGTCTTGTGGGGTCTTCAACACACCTGAACCTACCATCAATCTGAAATAACTGGAATCATAACATTTGATCACAATGTATGTTATCAGTTCTCCAGAGACCAATTAGCATCATCAAATATTCTGGTGAGACAATGTGTCTGATGATGATGTATAGTGACAAGCTAGTAGGCCTTCTACACCCATGTCTCAAGGAAGCTAAAAATACTGAACTGATTTACTGAATATGCACCTGGTACCTCCCGCATTGGATGTGATTTGAGCTCGTGCCACTTATGTGTTAACACAATTCTAGCCAGCTACCTCTTATCATTAAAAGACCTGTCATCAGCCACTGTGTTATACACAATGGGTAGTAATACTTTCCATCAGCCATTCCTATTATACATTATGGCACCATAAATCAAGGAAAAGGAATATCTCATCCATTTTGCATTCACTATTCAGGTGTTGTTCAAACTCCAATAATACTTCTGGCATATCAGTATAGAACTGTTTGGGAATATAACAATTTTACAAAATGTTTATCTTCACTCTACCTGCACACACAAGAAAAATTCAAAATTTAGCTAGAAATCATTTCCATCATTTCACCTGATTTCTATTCTTCTATTCTGCACCATTTTTCCAGTTAATTTGATTGAGCAAATTTGTGTCTCTCAATACAATTGGGATTTCCTAAATATCAATTTAGGCTGAGATTTTTTTCTTTTTTAACTTCAACATCAAATCAGATGACCTATATACAATGCAGGATTAGAAGATAAACAAAAAATTTGGCTTCAGCCATTTTCCCATACACCAGAAGCAAAGCTGAACAGAAACAATCCAAAGGGTCTGCAGGACAGTATTTAAAAATTGTCCAACTCAACAAAGATACCTCACTAAAGTGAAACCTCCACTGTTAAAAATTGACCAAGACCTGTGTGTACAACATTCTGTGTGGTTGAGTACAAATATGAGACATGCCATGTCCTAAAAATAAAACTTGATAAATCTGTAGAGTGTTTAAAATTATGTACAGTTGGCCATGCTTAGATAGAAAAAGGTGGGAATTAAACTAAAATAAGAGGCATTGGAAAATCAAATGTTTAAAAGAACTGGTACACAAATCATCCAATCAGTAGATGAAGCAAAAATAACAAGACTAAAAAAAAACAAAATAAAAAACCCCCCAAAAAAACAGATAATGAATTTGAAGTTCCAAACATCATTGTTCCTTTTAAACATGACCTAAATAAAAAGGGAAGTGCTAGTAAAATATTTTAGGTATCAATATATAGGTTAGGTATACAGAAACTATGTGAGCAAATATACTACCTGATGTGAGGAAGGTAGCTCCAAGAACAAAGAGTTACAAGACAAAGTGTGTAGAAAGTGAAATGCATATCTCTTTAGATCAAAGGTTGATATTCCAAATATGATAGCAACCAAGAAAGACTGGAAAAGCTGAGCAGTCAAAACATTGTTATAAAAATGAACAAATAAGGAAATTAGTTTGAATAAACATGCAAATAAATCTTACATTGCAAAAGGAAAGCTCTTTCAACTTTCACTTGAAGACCAATTTTGTTTCGATACCACACACATTGTAAAATATTAAGGACACTGTCAGGGCTCTTCATTTGGTCACTGTCCATTTGTTTTTCATACCATGCTTGCATTTCTTCCTTCCTCTCTTCTGGAAAAAATATCACAACTTTTGATGATTTCTATGATTTTATAAACACATAATTTGTAACTACTCCATATATTTTTTAAACAATTTCATGTTGAGATAAGAAAATGAGCTTGACTTATTTCATCATTGTTAATAAATATGATTTTAGATTGTTCTTGAGTTCATTGGTTATTACCACCCACATATAAATAATTCATGCCACTGTATTTCTATCAATATCCCAATGTGAATAATTTGTCTCATGAGATCAAATATACCATAATAAAAAGAGGAAGTCTCTATAAAGACTTTGCTTACAGCTATTAGAAGTATTCGAATTACCTAATGGTTTGTGTAGGTTGATATGCCAATTGTAGCAGTTTTAATGTTTTGTCTAATAGATTTTCTTGATCTTACATGTTGATTTCCAATCTGTGGGAATGACTGCAAAAGTTTTCCCCCTCCCCTTTACAGGAAAAATCCACAAAATGCTTACTGCAATATTTTTCTTAGTCAATAAAATAGGTTGATTTACAATTTGACTCAGTTCAGATCTACTTCATCTATATGAAAGATCATTGAGTTCACTTGTTTGACCTAGTTTTTCTGTGTAGACACTAATTTGTGGTTTGCTTTTTTACTTGTGAATTTAATTTACTTATATTGTTTGCTTGCTTGCTCGATATCATTTAATTTTTGCCCCTCTTTCTTTTGTAAATATTGTTAATTCTGTTTGATGGAAAGTTATGTTATTTATTTTGCATTTGGACAGTGATTTCTATCTTAACATAAAATCATTCTGTAGTCTCAGACAGGGTCAGAAAATATGAATTTTTATATGCATTGTCCTTTCAGGACTTGGATGATCATGATTATCCACAACTTCCTGTTTTTTGTTGCTCTATTAGTCTTACCTCTTTATTATACTGTTTTGTCCTTGTTCTGTGGTCCATTCACTTAAATTTGTCAAATAGGTTACTCAATGTTTCCCTCCTCTTTCAATATATCCTGAGTGTTAAATTCTCCAAGCCTTCTTTCTTCATTATGTCTTCCAGAAATATCTACTATCTGATTGTAAGCATAAGTTTTCTTGTTGCTCTTATTTTCCTTAACACTTCCTTATTGCTCACATATTCTGTCCATGGTAGTCTCAACATTGATTGATAGTAAAATGTCTCTGTCACTTCAAGCCTCTTCATCTTTGAGGAGACTGTCCAAAATTGACTACCATTTATGAGATTAAATATTTCATAGCACTTCATCATTCTTTTCTTTGTTTCTTAAGACATTTTCCTATCCCATAATACTATGCTTAGTTTCTGAAAGCATCTTCAGAATTAAGAGGGGTTGATAAAACAAAATGTTCCTTTTAGTTTTTATATACTGGCAGAAACTAAAACAATTCTATCATTAGATTGAATCTTATCTATGACACAACAATCATTTAAATTATTTTGTAAGTGCCAGGCACTAATTCTTAATTAGAATTTCAATTTCTATTTTCTTAGCTCACAGAACAGTTATTTATTTTAACATTAAATGGAAACATAACTTCTTCAACTGGCATCTGAACTTCTAATAATTACATCAAATTTGGTGCATGTAACATACAAAATTATCAATGTCATGGCTGTCAAGAGAAATTCCAGTTTTCTTTTTCAAATCAAATTCCAATTTTTTATATATTCTTCTACATTCATTCTCCATATTTCCATGACATTATGAAAATTTTTCATGAATTTTATTTTCACTCCTTGATTTATCTGTTCACTATCTTTCATGATAAAAAAAATTTAGGTCACAAAAATGATGCATGGGAATTGAAATTAATTTTTTTCTTTTCCAAAATGAATAAACAGACACAATGTTGTAATTGTCTTATTCATTTGAAGAATGAATGCAACATAGATCTGAAAAAAGATAAAGAATACATTGGCCAGAACATTATTAAAATCAACAAAGATAAAAAAACAAATTAGTCTTAACATATAAGAAATAGGGGGGGGAACTTATCTAGGAACATCAGAAACAATTGTACCTACAAAAAATTGATGTGGATAATGATTCTGTTACATTTTACATTGTTCTTTTAGTGTATTAGCAAAAAGTTAGAAAAAATTCAGCTTTCTTTCAACTTCATTTCTTTTTTTCTTCTTAAGAACTGGGTTAAAGCTAGAATCGACGCTTTCATCCCCTCAAGGAAATATAGGGTCAAGTCGCGCTCATCCCCTTGGTTCTTCACTGCTTGCTCAGCCGCCATTGCCCATAGGAACCACTTCTTTCACCTATTTCATAGTGACGTGTCGGACTACAATAGACGTCTCTTTGACTCTGCTAGTAATGAGTGTAAGCATGTCCTCACGAAGCTAAGTCACTATTTGCTGCTCGGATGAAGGAATGTATTGCATCTCGCAAATTTGGCTCCAAAGATTATTGGCGTCTCTGCAAGAGCGTACTGAACAATAGCAAACCCTCTATAACTCCTTTGTTCAACCAGTTCGAGGTCCTGACCTCCACTGCAGACAAGGCTGAATGCTTTGCTCGGAAATTTTCATTCAACTCAACGTTCAACTCTTCCAGTGTACCCATACCCGACTTCCCTCTTAGAACTGTGGCCCTATTGAGAAGGTTACACATAACCCTGTCTTTGGTATTGGGCATTATCTCCAATTTAGACCCCAAGAAGGCTAGTGGTGGGGATGGGATACCAGCCATTGTCTTGAAGAAATGCGCGCCTGAACTGGCGCCTGCCCTCTCTAAAATATATAACTACTGCCTCAAGGAATCTCGTTTTCCTGACTGCTGGAAGTCCTCATTGATTGTTCCTGACTTTAAGAACTCTGGCAACCTCTCTGACCCTTCTAATTACCATCCTATCAGTCTCCTACCTCTCTTCGGCAAAGTCTTCAAAGCCCTAATCAACGCCGAAGTGGTTAACCACCTTACATCCCATGATCTGCTCTCAGACAGATCTACAGCTGATGTGCTTACGGCCATCACTAAAACTGTCTACCAAGCTCTTCAAAATAACGGGGAAGCTTGTGCCATGGCCCTAGATGTCTCCAAAGCATTTGATAGGGTTTGACATGCCGGCCTTCTTCGCAAGCTCCAAGGTTATGGTATTACAGGTCGATTGTTTGACCTAATACAATCATTCCTGTCAAACCGTGAATTGAAGGTTGTTCTCAACGGATTCTCCTCCAGTTCCTATCCCACGAACGCAGGTGTTCCTCAAGGCTCCATCTTAGGCCCTACTCTATTCCATATCTTCATCAACGACCTTCCTGACGTCATAGATTCCCAAGTTGGCATCTACATGGATAACACTACAATTTACTCCTGCCTCAAAAACAAATCTAGTGTCACTGACAAAACTAATGTGGCTGTGCATCTCGAAAAGGACCTCCAATCAGTTGTGAACTGGGGCAGGAATTGGCTGGTCAACTTTAATGCCTCAAAAACAAAACTGATCTATTAATCACCACAGAGATCCTTCCCTACCCCCCCCCCCAACATTAGAATGTCTGACACTCAACTTCTCGAGAGAACCTCTCTGCGGCTGCTCGGTCTCACGTTGACTGCTAACCTGAGATGGAACAAATACATTGAGTCAATTGCTTCGTCCACCGCAAGAAAGTTGGCTCCCTGTGCCACGCCAGGAAATTTTTCTCCCCGAAATCGATCCTTCAGATCTACAAATCAACAATTCGCCCTTGCATGGAGTATTGCTGCCATATATGGTCTGGAGCCCCTTATGTTTGCCTCGGTGTTCTTGGTATGATCCATAGGCGGATATGCAATATAATTGGCCCTGATCTGGCATCTCGTCTACAGTTGCTCTCTCACAGATGCGTCGTTGCCTCTCTCTATCTTTTTTACAAATACTTTCATGGTAATTGCTCCGCAGAGCTGCATTCGCTGGTTCCCAGACTTCATGAATTCAAGCGCCCTATGAGGCTGGCATCCCGCATGCACCCTTTCACTGTCTCTACTACTCCAATAGCTTCATATCTTGCACCTCTCGCCTGTGGAACTCCCTTCCCTATTCCTGTTTCCCTGAGAGCTATAATCTCCAACTATTCAAATGTAATGTCAATCGACATCTCCAGTTGCCTTGATCTATCCACTATCCTTCTCCTCATCCTTTCCTCTATCACTCCTATCTGATCTTGCTCCAAATCTTCTGTAACCCCTTGCATCCTAGTGGCTTCCCGCCTTGCTTGGGGTGAAACACTTAAATAAAGAAAAAAAAATGTACTGACAAGAGTGTTCATTTCATCTGCTATTCAAAACTACATCATAATAAAGAAAATAAAAAACTAATACAACATAAATCAAAATATTAATCTTATACACAATATAAACAACACTGGGTCAGTGAAGTAGCCACAACAGTTTTAATCTCTGAACCTACCTGTTGGGATTTGAAGTAAAGTTTGCAACTTCCATATCATGTCGCTTACAGTAAAAGGGTAACAGTTCTGTTCCTTATAACTCTGAAGAATCCGTTCTTCAGAGGAATTTGGCTTGCAGTTTTCAGACTTGTAATAACCAGAGGAATATGAAGGAGGTGGAATTGCATTCTGAAAGAAAAGGAAGGAGATTATTTTTACGTGGCAAGAATTGTAGGTTACTTAAGGAAAATATTTTGATGCCCTTTAAAACCTTTTATTTCCCAAAATGAAGTGTAAAAAAAACAATTAATAATTACCAAACAAATGATTTGATGAGTTTTGTTAATATTTTAATACTTATTTGCATCAGACTCCAAACACAAATATTTTGAAAATAATATGAATTTTATCCTTTATAGAAGATTTTGTGTTTTATTAATTTCATATATAAATTTTCTATGAATTTTAGATATGTCAAGAAAAGCAAATATATGAACAGGTTGAGAGAGAGAAAAGGCAAAGGGAAAGCTAGGATAATTTTTTAGCATATTGCCATTGACTACTTTCAGGGGTTATTCGAAAATATTGTGAATATTGGACAACTTTTTTTTACTCTTATCATTGATTATCAGTGATTGAAGTAAGTAAAAGAGTTTTTGTGTTGTGATTTACAAAGTTCATTCACTTGCTCATTTCAGGATATCATATATCAGCTGTAGAAGACAAAGTCTGCTCAGGGTATAATACAATATGTCAAGATAGGTACATAGAGAAAATCAACACACTGATGTAGTTTAGTGAGATAGACTCATGGGAGAGAAATATTCTGCAAATTACTGCATTGTAGCAGTTGAGAATTAGTCTCCTCTTCTGCCATTGGTTTTGTTGCTGGCCAAAGGCATTGCTGTTGATGGAAGCACCTTGATGTCACTGCTGATGGCCTGGTTAAGTTTACCTGCCATGAAGTGCATCACTAATGCCAGTTGAGTTGGATCTAACTTTGTGAGTGAAATCAACATTGATTTTATAGTGAGTCCGTGGCTCAGTAATGTCTACTGTAAAAGGTTTTCTCTGATTGGTCAGAAAAGATGACTCCATTATTTTTGGATGATATTCTGGAAATGGATTTGCAGAGCTGGATGAAATTAAGGTCCGTTTTTGTTGTATGAGCTGAGGATGTCAAAGCAAGTACTTCCATTTGAGTTAAAGAATTGGAGTTTCAACAGGATGCAACAATATAAATACCAAAAAAATAAGAATATATGGTCACAGTATGATACAGAGTTTTGCTTCTTATAAATAAATGCATTCAAAACATGATACTTAAACTGTCAGCTGATACCAACTGACTGATCTGTAAAAATACATTTTTAGCTTAACAAAAAAAGCTGTGATTTTAAGTATTCAAATAATCAGTTATCTATGTTATTTTAAGTATTCAAATAACATTAGTCCTTAGTATTTGTCAAATGTAAGAAGTAAAACTTTTTTTTTTTAAATTGACAACAGGTGAATTTGAAGCCTCTTTTTTGGATAAAGGTCAATTAAGTACAAAGTGACTGCAGTGCCAACTGAATTTACCTTGCACTAGCAAACAAAGAAATGGACATTATCATAGATTTTTATACATGTAAATCAATTACATGTATAACAAAAGCTGAACAAGATTGTAATGCCGATCATCTCACATGGGGTCAATTGTAACGCAATCTCTGGTCAAGGCGCCTATGTGACACCATATCCTAACCCCACTGGGCCAACGTCATTCACAAGACCGGCCATTGGTCCTGTATGGTCCAGTATTACAGGTTAAACCTAAGTCTCCAGTTTATAATGTTGATTCGATTCGACTCACCAGCCACGTTGTGATTTTTGATCCTGGTGAGTAGTTATTGGGTCAAAGAATTCTGAAAGCTCTCTGTTGGTCTACCTGCAAGCTTGTTGGGTGAGAATTGGGTTAACAGCAAATAAATATGGCCAAGTCGATCCGATTTTAGAGGGACAAAAGCTTTATATATATATATATATATATATATATAATAATACAATTTTCGTGGAAAAAAGTTGAATGTCTCTTGTATTGTATATGAATGATGATCAACAAAACAAAAAAAATTACTTTATGTAATTTTGTTAAAGGAGAGAGGGTGGCTTCGTTTTAACTCTTTTGATTACTGTAGCTTGTTCAATGTTTCTGTTCTCAGTGGTAGTAATAATAGTAACAGTAGTAGACTTAGCTGTTGAAGGAAGCTTCTTCATACTTATATCAACAGCACATGTTAGTGGGTGCTCTGTTCCAATCTCTGACATCACTTCCTCTCCTCCTCACATCTCCAACTTGACTTTCTACTGTCTCTAACTCAACTCTACTCTTTATATAGAGAACTGGTGATGTATTTGTTTTTAGTGCGAACATACTAACATACTTTTATTAGGAAAGGGTTCGACCCATTTTCCCAGCACACTTCTAAATTAAAACTTCACACTCGTTTCATCTTTCAGTACCCTGACTGTATTGCCATTGTTCTAAGTTTATCTATTAATAGCTCAGAGTAATTTTGATAAACTTTACACAGATTCATGCTGTCTTGTTATCGATAAAATTAACCTTTAGATCAAGACATTCTTAATTCTATTTTCTAGTAATAATCTTATATCTTTTGTACGCTTAAAGAGAAAAAAAGATTGTATTTCTTTTTCTAAATAAAATCTGTAACATTTCAAAGTCTTTACAGATTTTTAACATCTTGGTTCATTTGAAAACGCCTTTTTTCCAGTTTTCCAGCATATTCTCCTTTATTATCATTATTATTATTTCAGGGTGATCTTGTGTCCCTGCCACAGATAATAAAATGATTTATGAATCAGAAAGAATGAAAAAAAAATATAATTTGTCATTAGAATTTTCCATGGCTTGCTCCATAAATGATTGGAAAAATATATAAGCATAAATTAAATTACTTAAGATAAATAATACAAGTTGCTGTGCCTAACTTCATTGATGTATCTGAGAAATTAACCCATTCACATAGGTTCACACACTGCCCACAGTCACTAGGCAAGTCTGTGGTCAATCCCTATGGTCAGCCTTGGAGCTGATTGTCTTGATCACCAATCCCACCCTGCCCACGTTGTGTTTGTTTTAGATCACAAGGTAGATGAAGGCAGGGCTGTATACCCAATGTTGCTGATCTGGCAGCTTTGGCAAAATGACACCACAAGGAACAAAGTAAGAGACAGTTGTGGTAGACAACTTTATATCAAATGCCCATACAATGAATGTTCTACTCAATAAATTAACAACATGCAGATTTTCAGCACTTTCCCTCTTAATAACCCGTGACACTATGTTTAGCTATGCTTGGTAACCTGGCATTCAACTACACATGTTTAAGTAGTACTTTTGGAAGTAGGAATTAGAATCTTCTGTATCTCTCTCTAAACAAACTGTTTGCAAGAGTACCAATCTCCAACAAAGATTGAGGTAGTATACATAAAATTCAGCAAGCTATAAGAGAGTTAAAAAATAATTAGAAGTGACTGATTAGAACTCACGACTGAATGAGGTAAAATCCGAACAAGAACTGAAGCAGCAGGAATTTTAGGGTATGAGACAAGAGTTGAAATAGATGGTTTCTTTCCCTGACCAATGACCACATTTCCATTTTGAACACAAAGTTGATGACCACCAACTCTAAGTAGCACCTGAAATAAACAACATACTCTGGTAATACATTTAAGTATTGAGGAAAAGCATTTATAACAAATTAGCTATAATGCCCATACAGACACATACAAAGTGATCAAGTATGAATGTAGTTTTAAGGTAAAATAACTTGTATATAAAAGTCATATATAACTCAAATAGTATTTTATGTAGATTTAAAAAAAAAACAACAAGAATTTAGTGTAAGTAAATAAGAATAAAATGGTTTCTGCATAGTTTCTCTGTCTTTCCACATGTACATACATCCTTGAAGCAGGTAAACATGATTGTTCTTTCGTTTGTTCCTATAAATCTATGAACTATATTATTCTTTATTCCTATTGTATCGTGTGCAAAAATTACCAGATTTTTTTTTTATTATTACATTTTATTTAGTACATATATTTATTATTCATCAAAATTTCTTTGATTTTCTATGATTTGACACCAACATTCTGACATTTTTTAAAATTTCATCTTGATTCTCTGGTTTTGATGAAATAAAATAATTAGTGAAATTTTGAACATTGAATACTGACAGTACAACAGCTGAAATATTGTGTGTATAACAACCAAGATGAATATGTTAGTACAAATGGTAAGCCATATGATAATCCTTCATCTCAAAATTTCCAACATAAATTCTGTGGATATTTTATAATTTATCCATACATAAATAATCCCATCATTTTTATAGATACTATGTCAGTAAATAATTTTACTTAAACCATTAAAAAATTGGCAATATTTGAGTAATTTTACAATTGTCATTTATAAATTATCAAAAATTACATATTGCTCTACATTTTCTTATGTTTAATACTTTCTGAATATCAAATTAAGTAAATAAAAATTTCCTATTTAACACAAGTTGCAGCAGACATTGAGTCTAAGAGTTGTATCAATCATTTAAGAAAGAAAATGCAGATCTATTTTATACATAAAGTCACATTGTATTTTATATAGAATAAATTATAATCTGAATGGCATTCTTCTAATTTGCAGACTAATGAAGCAAATGAAAAATATTCCAGTATGTCTGTCAAACGTATACTTCCAAAATATAGTTCCAAATAAGTAAAATATGTAAAATGTAACACCTGTTACTGTTTTTTGGCTTAGCCATTATTTTACAATAATTTAAAATCTGTTATCTGAAATTACACAATATATTATTTTAAAAACAAGTTTGATAGTAAATAACCATTATATAAGGATTGGGGTGCCATTAAACATTGTCAATCTGTTGTACATTATCCTTTAATTTAGAAATATTGTAAAGGAAGCATAAACTGATGTAGTAAGTGAAAGATTCGAGAAAAGATTTGGTAAAATGAATTTAAATTTTGCCTATAGTTGCTTATTCATTTCTATCTTAATTCCTTTGGCAAAGTGTATGAAAGCAAATCTCTCTAAGCCTTTTTCATTGCCAGTCAAAGACATAGTGGAGATAATTCGGATAATTCAGTAAATATTCAAATTTTCAATATAAGGACCATTTTTTCTTAACATTAAACAGATGATTGCTAAAAGCAAAAGTTGCATCATAATTGAGAATACTCCAAGGAAGCAGATACAAAGAAAATTGAAAACCTTTTTCTTATTTTCTTTATAATAGAGGGACATCAAGCAGCAACCAACGATGGTCAATTGGCCAGAAAGCATTTCCACAGTATAGAGGGTCACAAGAAGCAGAGACTCAGGACTTAAAGCTGATTTGTCAACATTTACTACTAGACGTGAGGATATAGCTGAAAATATTGGACTTCGGGCAGGACCATCCAGGTTTGGCAAAAATGATCCTTTCTGTGACAGATCTTTACATTTTTGTTGCAACAGACTGACTGTTACCTGGAAATGAATGTAGAAATGTTATGAATACATTTTCCTTAAAAATGAAAAATCATACAATAGATCTATTGCAATGTAAACATTATTTTTCAGAATGTGTGTGTTTGTGTTCATGCATGAATGTACCGGAAATTATATTTTGTTATATGTACATAACAGCAATTTAGTTATTTTTAATTTTCATATTATAATTAAAAAAATTGGATAAAAGCCTTTTAAATATATAAATGGAGATACATCCAAAAATGGGTCAGACACATTTCACATTTTTTTTTACCTTAACTTGGAAATAAATGTTATAAATTTACATCAAAGATTAGCATAAACACAACAAGTTTTTAATCATTTCATCCCAAACAAGGAAATAAAGTTATTAAGATGCAAGGGGTTACTGAGTGTGAAAGATATGAAAAAAAAAGAATATTAAGGAGAGAGAACAATAAAAGAACAGGAATTAAGAAGACAGAAGATAACAATTCACATTGCATTTGTATTTTTAAAGCTCAAGGGGTTACAGCATATGGAAAAATTAGGAACAGAAAAATTAATGATGAGCAGAAAGAGAAGAGAGTAATCAGGTGGACAGTAGATAGCAATTGACATTGCATTTAAATTTTTGCAGATTAAAGTTGTCTGGAAAGCTACAAGTCAGAAGAGAGTTCCACATGTGAGAAGTGCAACAGAAGAAACTGTTAGCATAGAACTTATGGTTGCATCTAGCAATTTCAACTGTAAAATGATAAGACTTAGCTGCCAATCTAGTACTGTGCTTAAATTTTTGAAGTCATGGTACCAAATTCATAAACTTTAGGTACCATATAGGAAAGCTTATCAGAAAAATTACCATGAAAACATTTATAGAAAAGGCATGTTACAGTGGTGGGAAAGTGACTGGAGCCAAGATGCCAGGTTAGGACCAATAACTTTGCAGATTCTTTAGATTTTATCAAAAGTCTCTAAATACATAGCAGAAGCATCAGACTGGGTATGACAGCAGTATTCAATGCATAGACTAATGGTAGACTTATAAATGTGTAAGATAGATTCTGGAGAGAAAAATTGTCTAGCATGACACAGTGAACCAACTGTCCTTGCAGCAAACTTAGTGATTGATTCAATAGACTCCTTCCACTTCATGTCAGTAGAGAATGTTAGCTGATGAAGATGCAATGACTCTCTCCTGGAGGTTATCATCACTAATACTGATGAAAGGCAAAAAGGTTCTCTAAGACGATTAAAACTGCTGCCAATTTGACCTTATTGAACTGATCATACTTAATATTAAGACAGGAGTAAATAGTTGTGCCATCAGTATAGATATTATTGAGTTGAGAACTGATGACATCAGGAATGTTGTTGATGAAAATCAGGAACAACATAGGTCTAAGGATGGAGCACTGGGGGACAAGCACATTAATGTAAAAATATCTAAAAGAGTGGCTGTTCAATATAACTTCCATTTTGAGATTTGATAAGAAAAATTGATACGGAAATAACATAACCTCTCAATTTGTGAAAGAGACCAGCATGCCAAACATCTTCAAGATACCCAAAGCAGCAGCCTGAGATTCACCATTCTTATCTAAAGTTTGACAAATTCTTTCAGCAATAACCTTTAACAGTAGAGAAGCAAATGCCATATTGTCTGAAAGAAGATCCTGTGCAGTGAGATGCTTAACCAACTCAGAGTTGTTTAGAGCTTCTAATACTTTGCCAAAAGAGGCAGAAGGCTAACAGGCTAATAGAAGTATAAAATTGTTCACCTGAGATCTTAAAGACAGGAACTACAGATGATTTCCAACAAGCAGGTAAGCAAGAAACAGCAAGGCATTTATTGTTGTGTTTAGAGAAAACAGAAGCTAGTTCAGGAGCACATTACTTAAGGACTATTGCAAAGATAGCATAAAGTCCACATGCTTTGTAGGGATCCAGTTTAGAGATGAAATTATATGAATATCACACAGTAGAAGCTCAAGCAGAGATATTCCAGATAAGTCAAGAGTAGAACTGGAAGAGAATTTATTTAGAGAAACATTCTGCTTGATCAAGAACCAAACATGTTAGTGGCTATATGGTACCTCATTCTGTCAGCAAACAAACTTAATCTCTTTGAGGACATGTTTACAATTATTATGAGTGGACACAAAGAGGTAACTATTGTGATTGAAACTATCATGTTGGTACAGCCAGAAAAAGTGATTCCTTTGAGCTATAGCAGCTAAACAAGCAGGTGTAAACCACGAAGATTGTGGTTTCACCTGATATTTCCAAGTAGGTACAAAAGCATTGATGCTGGCTTTTACTAAAGGACAAACCTCAGTGGCTCAATTCTCAATAAGTTAAAAATATCAATCCAAGAAGTGTCACAAAAAAACAAAAAATTAATTTGAATCAGTATGCTAATTACAGAAAGAAGTCTTGTGAATAGGAGGTCCCTGTCTAATAGATGACTCAAAAGTAATATCAACAAACATAGCATGATCTGAATTGCCAAAAGGACAGAGTCATGATGCTTGACAAGAGCCATGAGAGGAGGTAAGGAAGAGGCATGTTGATCAGAATTAGTAGGAAAATTCACTATTTGACTGAGAGACTGGTTAACAGAAAAACTGAATGTCTGAACATCCATAACATTAGAATGATTATGCCCCTTGATATGATGAGTATTAAAATCACCAAACACAAAAATGCTCACAGATGAATGTAGAGAGAGAGAGTCATTTCTATACTGTCAGATCTTTGTCTAATTTGTTACAATCCTGAGAAAGTGAGCAATAAAGGAAAAAGAGATAGTTTACAATAAAGAAAGTTGAAAGCAAATGAAAGAATCATCTCAGGTCTCAAGAGATGATTCCCTTGCCGGTTTCTCAGGTAAATGAAAATGTATTATTTATTTAAATTTAAGTCTCAAGGTACCCAAAATAGTTTGCCAAGAATGAGTTATGATCAAAACATGAATATTTAATTCATGCTTTTAGGGATCAGTGTGAAATATATTTGAATGCCTTGATTTTCTTATTTAAACAATGTCATAGCAGCAGGTGGAGTTATAAATTAGAACCTAAAGGAGCGGGGGGGGGGGATTCAGCCAGGCAGGGTGAAGATGCAAAACTAAAAACCTACAAATTTGTATAGTGTCTGTTTGGAGTTACAAAGTTGAATTTAAAAATTTTTTTCAACTTACATTTTCAACTGCATACCTTAAATATCCTTGTGGTAAATAAAACATCACAAGACAGTAAGTAATGCATTTCAGCAGTGAAAATAACAGTGTGTGTGCTAACAGCCACAGTCCTGCATTGAGATCATCCATGAAATGAAAAGTATTTGTTCATTGATGATGATGTATGTGAACAAATAGTGTTTTGGAGCTGAAAACTTGCTCTGCTGAACAGTATTACTGTGCTCCTTGTATCTGTTGCAGTTTATGTGGAAATAAGTAGGAGGCATTACTTTCAGAGTAGTCATATTTTTTTTTTGCATATCTCTTAAGAAATCAGTTTATAGAAGTCCTTTATCAAGATTCAAGTTCTAAAAAGAACAGAATCGATAAATAAATCCATTGATTCCAGAGTATTTCTCTCTTATTATGCTCTTTCTGATTTGTGTTTCAGGTCAGTGGTTACAATATGATAACATTTATTAAATGTTTAGCACATCTAAATTCAAAAATAAAACTTTAGATTTAGCTTTCTTTGAATCAATAATATCTGTTTAAATAGTATTTGTTCTAAGTTCCCAAGAGAAACAGATGGTAGTTTTTGAGAAAAAGGGGGATCTGTTTACCCTATTTTACCTCTTGGAAATAACAATGCAGAAGAATTAACAAAGACATGATTTGCTTTTAAAATTTATAACTGTTTCAGATTCACTTTTTTCATTTTTCATTCTTATTAAAATTTATATTTTTATTTCATTCAGATTGTGAAAAAATTTTAAGTTTGTAATCTGGCTTTTTTTTATAATGATGAAAAAAGTTAGTTTAAATAATTTTAAAGCAGAAAATACTTTGATGATGGAAGCAGAGTCTGGAATGAAACGAACACAATCAATGTAGATGTCAAAGGTGTCTTTGTTTGTGGCTTTGGGCTCCAAATTAATCAGTTCATCTGGTGGAATGTGTTTCACCCAGTTTTCCATTTGCTGAGATTCTTCAACATTCTCATTTCTTGATTCACAAATATTCCTGCAAAGGGAATTAAAGATTTTTTTTAGGCAAAAATCTGGAAATATTGGCAATGATTTTTCAGCATTACAGCACAAAGTAATTTCTATTTTTCAAAAAAAAAACAGAATTAAAGCTGTTAGCCATAAGGGAAGACAGGAGTCCAGGGTGCTTAAAAAGAGGTAGCAGATTTTTTTCTTTGTAAATATAAAAAGGAGAGAATCAAAAAAGGTTTTAATAAATTTCAGATTATTATAGAAGCCTTAGAAAACAAACGTTTCCATTTTATTATTTTTCATTATGACATCCAAAAATAGATTTAATATCAGCATTTCCTTAATCCAATCATCAATTCTATAATACCATCTTGCATTTCAGAACTGTTGAAATATGAGCTATGTGCTCCATCAAACTGATAGTTCTATAATACTGAATAGAAAGAAAAATAAATTCTATAATAATCATTTTTCTTTGAAATAAGAATCTAAAAGGCATCTAACTTTAACTGTCCATATTGAAATGATGCTAGGAATTGGTTAAGATTATGAAAGAAGGATGGAAAACTGACCTTTCATGACCACATTCTGTGGTACCTTGTCCATCAATGGTGAGAGTAAGAAATATTTCAGAGTTATAGCCAAGTAAATCTGTAATGATTGACAAATGCAACATCTTAAGAAAATAAATAATACTTTATTTTAATCAGAACTAGCAGCATACACTACTTAAAATTTCTATTATTTTATAAAATAAAGCAACATTGAAATTTTTACAAAGATTTTTTTTCAATGTTTAACAGTTTTAATGTTTAATGTCTTTCAGATTATTTTAACAATATAAATTAATTTAAAATTTAAAAATGAAACAAAAAATGTACATGGTAACTTAAAGAGTGTGTCAGATGGATGGGGATTAGATATATTTTAAACCTAGGGGTAGCTATTCAGTATATTTCAAGGCTAGGGTGTCAGAGTATCGTATATGATCCCACTTTATATGAAAAAAATCATTAAAGATTTTTTATTAAGGAGTTCACAAGTAGTGTTCTATTTGCAATAAAAATTTATTGTAAAATGATTGCCCACAATGAAGCCAAAACAAATGACAGATCTCCCAACAAAGAAAAAGTGGCCAGTCATCGGGGCATTTTTATACATAAGATAACCCTGGAAACATGATTTAACTTAGGTACCTCCAAAGATTTGCTAAAAAAATGAGCATACATGATGAAAAAATGCCCAAAACTTAATAAAAAAATTTTTTCCCAAAATGTTTGTGTCATTATTAAAAGGAAAGACCAAAGAATTTTTTTTATGTAATTCTTTTTTTTAAAATTCTTTTTAGAACCTTCAAAAACTTGGTTAAGATCCAAAGATTACTATGGGATTTTTAGTGCCTTTTTTCTGGTCAAAAACATATTGATTTGGAAATTTTTGCAAAAATCAAATAATTGTTAAATTTTAATGCAACTTTTCACAAATGAATGAAATCATTTTTTAAATGTTTTTTTTTTTTTTTTTTTTTTACATCTGTTACCCACACCCACTCACTTAATTTTATGAAATTTCAAGAAATTGAAATTCCATCCTCTTCATATTTATATTAGTTAAAAGCAGGACTCCTTGTAGAATTTAAATTTGTTTTTGTCAAAAAACAACACTGCCATTTACTGAAAATTTGTCATGAATTGTAAAATAAAAAATACAATAAAACTATGACATTATTTAATTAGAAAAGTTTTTAATAGCTTTTATAATAAGATATATTAAAGTCTTATGAAAAAAGATTTTTTTGATGAATAATGAATTTTTACAAGAATTGTTAGAAAAATTTATAAAGTTTTAAATCTTAAAATTCTGTATTATATTTTAGATTATATTATTAAATGAAAACTATATTTACTAATCATAAATAGTAAAGCTTAATACCAGTCTTCAATCTCCAAGATTTTTAAAAGTATTTGAAATTATTTTATACATATAATCTTCCCATTTTTGAAAGTTATCAGAAAATAAGAGCACTGAATATAGTAAATTTAAAGTCAACATTCCTAAAATTAGATTACTGAGAATATTTTACAAAAATGTTACTTAAAAATTACATAAAAAAGTGTTGACATTTTCTTAAATTATGTTTTACAGAGGTTTTAAGTCTCTGTAGAACAACAATCAATGTAATATCACCTTGTTATCACTCATCATACATGTAAATATGGCTACTGTTGGTTAAAAACACATCTAGTTTGGTTTAAAAATGTGTTTCTATATTATTTTAAACAAAGTAAATAATATTTGTTGCAAATCAGATTAATTGTACTTTAAATCAGTTAATATTCCTCAAATAAAATTTTAGAAAAAAGCATTTTTGGAACATTTTTTAATAAAGAGAATTAGATTACAATGAAAGACAACTAAAAAAAGGTCACTACTCAGCTATTTTAGCAAAAAAAAAAAAAAAAATCCTCCCAGTCTATTTAAATTAGTTTTTGAAATATTTAAAAGTAATTTGCTTATTGGAAATATTAAATTTAATCTATTAGCTTGAAATTAAAACTAAAATACAAGCTTCAAGAAAGATCTTTCCTTTTTTAAAAAATCATTTTAAACTTCAGGTATCACATTATTTTTGTTTTTGTGGAGATACCTACTTTTCTATGATATACAAAATAAAAAAAAAAGGCTGAGTTGTTTTACATTTGGATAAGTTAATTTGATCGACAGGAATGTAGGTCTCAGAAACACCTAATTCAACAGGAATGTCTCCAGGATGAAGTGGAAAGAATGTTTCTTGTTGATTTATCCCAATCCATTTTTGACTATTCCAAGCATCAAGTTCAACCAATGCGATAGATGCCCATCCAAGAGGAACTGAAATACAACAAATACAGAACATATGCCATAATAGATCTTTGATGGGGAAGAAGGAATGAGGAATATAAATATCTAGGCATGAAATTATATATACAAATGTATAAATAAATGAACAATTATTTTATTCAGATTTGGCTTTTAGTAAAGATATAGTCATTGCTGATTAATTTACAATAAAGACTCAAGAGAAATATTCATTTCATAATGTATTATACTATTTAGAAAATGTCAAGTTTCAAAAGCAAGTGCACTGTTGGTTAAACTAAATATGGAATGAACAAGCATCAAATAGTATTGAAACTAGGAATTTCACTTTCTTAATTATGTGATTATATAATTCATTAATGAAGAAAAGGAAAAATTGTACCATCAATGAGATGAGAATTTTAAAACAAAATCTCATTGTGGCAGATGTTACAGTGTATTTGTATCATCCCAAAGATAGCAGTACACTAATTTTAATTTGCATAAAATATTTTGAAATTTTGAATTATTTATGTCAATAGATAAAGGTATTGTTTGAAAAGAAAAGTGTTGTTTTAACCAAATTTCTTACTTTCTTCACGTGTCTGTTTGAATTTCTTTTTACAAATAAATACACTATGTTAGATTTTATTATACAAGTCAATGTTTTCAAAATATAATTAGTATTAAGCAAGTGATGTTAGCATAATTTTCAGGATATACAGATCATTGTTCATGATAAATATATCATATGAATTTGGGCTTATAATATCTTTTTTATTAGAAATATTCATTGAGTGTTGCACAACATGTTGTAAATAAATACACATAATAATATAATTATTGATATTTATTTTTATTTTCCGCTTGCCACAGATTGTACAAATGATATAATCTCAAAATAGAAACAAGATATTTCAATGGTTATTGAAATTGTGACAAATTGTTAAACAGAGATAAAGCAACAATAATAAAAAAGAAACTGTAAACATTGGCAAGACAAGAACAAGAAAAAATGGTTTTAAGAATGGACAAAAGAAGTGATTTGAGAAAAATTAAAAAGATATGAAGAAAAAAAATACTTGAAGAATCTTGCAAATGTCAGAGAAAAAGAAGATGCAGAATATTAAGTTCTTTAGTCAATAAAAACATGAAAGCAACCAAAATATGAAATTTAAATAAACATTTAAATTTATCAGTTGGATAAAGCAGTGAATGGAAGTTGATTTTTCAATGGTAATTGTTAGTGACAAATGTAGAATTTACACTGAATGGACCTGATATTGAATGTTTAGTCCTTCATGAGGATAGTCAACCAAATATAATTTACAAGGTAACATATAGTGAAGTAATGTTTTGAGCTAATATTGTAAATAGTAAAATTATAAGTCTCTTCAAAGTTGATTACAATAAATGCATACAATTATTGTTGTGTCGTGTATCTTGCTAAGTAAGCATTCAACCTCTGTTCTCGTTGGTGTCCATTTATCATATGAGCTACCTGCTCATATGCAAATTATACTAATTTGCATCTCACTACATCTCCCTATAACGGAGGGGCCTTATGCCACGAGTACTTCTTGTACTTCTTCTTGTGCCCTCCTGAACATCTTCCTTTATCTCTCTCCTTTCCCTCGGAGATCTAGATCTATCACATCTTTCCCTATAATCGAACTGTTCCTCTTGCATACTCTGGTCTTTTTCTAACTTGTCCCAACTTGTCCCTAACTCATCCTCTCTTTCTTCCTCTTCTAACTCATCTCCTTCTTCCTCTTCTAACTCATTCTTCTTCTTCCTCCGCAGTTTCATTCTGCATTAACTCTTCTGTTACATCAATAATGGGCATCTCTGAAGGCATTTCCTCATCCGATTCTTCTCCTTGGGATCTTATTTGGTCAGCATGAGCTAGAACACTGTTCCCATTTTCTTTATTTAATATTGCAGTATTATGTCCTTTCTGCATAATAAATTGACTGACTCGGGTTGCATATTCCTATTTCTTTTTGTACCACATCTTTTGATTTGTGGCATATGACAGAGTCAAAGGGGACCTTAATTGTCTGCCCATTAAGGCAGATGGACTTTCCGGTCTGCCTGCATGTGGAATTAGGAAAGCATCGATTTCCTCCTCCTGTTGCAAGCATGCTTTTATGCCCTTCTTTACCATCTGGACCATCCTTTCCGCTGTCCCATTACTTTGAGGGTGGTAGGGAGGGGTCTTGTAAGGTCTGCATCCTATTTTTCTTAGCCATTCATGCAAATCAGCATCCACAAATTCTGGTGCGTTATCAGTCACCAATGTTCTCGGTGTCCCATTCCTCGAAAATATTACTCTTAATATTTGTTTTACGGTGGTACTTTTTTTATCAGGTACTCTCACCACTTCAGGCCAACCTGAATATGCGTCTACTAATATTAATAATAGTCCTATCCCATTGACATAGGCATGGTCCATGTGTACTCTGCTCCATGGTTTTACTTCTCGGGGCCATACATGTATTTTCTTTTGCTTAAAATTCCTGAGTTCTGTGCATTTTTTGCATCTTTTTACGTAGTCTTCTACGTCTCTTGAGTACCCCGGCCACCACGCTTCCAATTTTAATCTTCTTTGCGTAGCTGCCACTCCACAATGTACGTCATCGTGTACACTTTTTATAACCTATCTCCACTGTGTTTCTGGGGGAACTACCAAGTCTCCATTACATATTATCATGTTTTCTATAGTCATTTTATGTCTGATTTCTTTGAATGGTCTTTCAGCCATTGAACAATTTCCCCAGCGATTCTGTTTTATCCTCGACATTATTCTATTTAACACTGGGTCATTTGTAGTTTCAGTAGCCATTTTATCTACAGATATTACATCGGTTTCTACAAGGTGCAAGAATGTGTCTTCAAATTCTTCGTCGTTTTTGTCCTTCTCCTCTCTATAAAACCTCAATCTAGATAAGGCATCAACGTGCGGTATCATATTCCCTTTAACATATTCAATGTCAAAGTCGAACACCATCAGTCTAATCGCCCAACGTAATATTCTGGACGTTGTAACTTTCGGTAGCTCTTTTCTTGGGTTGAAAATAAATTCCAGTGGTCTGTGATCACTTTTCAACAAGAAATTTTTTTCCCATCAAAAACTGTCTTGTTTCTATCCGTTGTCCACACTATGGCTAGTGCCTCCCTTTCTATATTCGAATAATTGTGTTCAGTTGTTGTTAATCTCCTCGATAAGTACATTATGGGATGCCCATCTTGTGACAAAATACCAGATATGGACTGCTCACTAGCGTCAGTAGTTAGAGTTATGTCCTTCTTAGGGTCAAAAATTTGTACTATTGGCTTTTTTGCCAGAATCTGTTTTAAGTTTTCAAAGGCTTTCTGTTGGTGTTCTAACCAAATGAATTCCACATTTTTTTTTCTTAACTTAGCAAATGGTTCTGTCAACTCATTATATTTTGGTACATATTTTCTATAAAAATTTACCAAACCTAAGAAGGACTCCAACTCTTTTTTTATTTTTCGGTGTAGCAACTTTTAGAATTTTCTCTATTAGTACTTTATCTGGAGAGATCCTTCCTTTGATATTGAGTAACCTAAAAAATGATATTTCATTACTGTTGGTTACACACTTTTTTTGTATTTATTGTCATACCAGCGTCTCTTAGCTGGTTCAGTATATTTTCAGTTTTTTTCTTTAAATCATCTTCATTTAAATCTCCAACACATATATCGTCTTGATAACAGATGGTATTTTCAACATTTCCTATTACTTTTTCAATAGCTTTTTGAAAAATTGCACTTGCCGTTTTTATGCCATACGGCATTCTTTTCCACCTTAACAGGCCTATAGGTGTGTTTATGGTCGTCACTTCTTTAAAATTTTTATTTATCGGTATTTGGTTGTAAGCTGATTTTAGGTCTATCTTCGAAAATACTTTCATTCCAGCAAGTTTATGTAAAGCTACTTCCACATTTGGTATAGGGTACAAGTCAGCACAAACTTTATGGTTCACCCCTATTTTATAATCTCCACAAATTCTCAGGTCACCATTTTTTTTTTTTCAATACCACAATGGGTGATGCCCATTTACTTCCTCCTGGAGGGGCAGGTTCTAATAAGTCTTCCTTTATTAGCTTTACATAATTTAGCTATTACCAACGGTAATAAATGCACTGGTATTTTTCTCGCTTCGTAGTAGGAGGGGAAAACATCTTCTTTTAATTTCAGGCTAGCTTCATAATTTTTAATTTTCCTGTTTTTTCTATTTCTATCTCATTAATCAACTTTGTTGAATTTATTTTTTAACACGTCATTCCCCAGTAGTCCATGCGTATTTCGGCAATTTTTAACTATAATGGGTACTATTTCATATTTTTCTTTTAATTCTATTGAACCTTCAAAGTAACCCATAATTACTATAATCGAGCCATCAAACTGACGTAATTGTACGTTGTTTTTTTAAAAACGGTTTTCCCATTTTTTTTCCCACAAATTTCTGGGTACTATCGTGACGTCACTACCTGTGTCGATTTGCATTTCGACAATACAGTCGTTGATTTTCACTTTTATTTTTGTATCTCCATTCTTAGATCCAGTATTTTGTATATTATCCTTTTTTACATTAAAAATCTGTCTATTTTCATCCTCTACTCTTTCCACATTTTTCGTTTTCCATACTTCTTTGAAGTGATTTTTTTTTTTTTAAACACTTTGAACATGTTTTTCCAAAGGCTGGGCATTTTTTTTTTTTTCATTTCATGAATTTTTCCACAGTACGCACAAATTTTTTTCTTTTTGTTTGTACTGTATATGTTTCAGCCATTTTTTCTTCGTAGGATTTATTTTTATTTTGGTTGTAGGTATGTATTAATTCCTGCTGTTGTATAAATTCTATACACATATTCAAAGGCATGTTTGTAAGTTGTAACTGTTCCATTAACTTATATCTATGTGCTGAATTATGCATACCTTCAATTAATCTTAGTTGGATTAATTCTTCTTCCGTTGTCTGCTCTCCTGTTCCTAGTTTTCGAATTCACAGTATTTACTCGCACTTCTTAACCGGTGTAAATATTTTACTATCGGTTCATCCACTTCCTGCTTCATTGCCATAAACTTGGTCCTTTCTGCAATCACCAGTCCTTTTCTTTGGCCTCATGTTTCCCTTTAATAACCTGACTTATTTCTTCGAAAGTCATTTCTTCTAGTTCTCGAGGGTAAACCATTGTAGCAACCTTCATAATCGCTTCACAACCAGCGGTAGCCATAAACAAGTTGGTGATTTCATTTTCCCTCCTCTGTTTTTGTTGTCTTTCAACTTTTTACATCTTGCATTAGCAGCAAAGCAACGAATCCACGTATCTACGTATTCTGGGTCTTCAAGGACCAAAGAGTATCCTATCGGCAACGCCATTGTTGTGTCGTGTATCTTGCTAAGTAAGCATTCAACCTCTGTTCTCGTTGGTGTCCATTTATCATATGAGCTACCTGCTCATATGCAAATTATACTAATTTGCATCTCACTACAATTATTATAACTTATTGGACATGACACTTTCCGAGTGGTACAATTGATCAACTCATTTTCTACAGCTTATCACTTTGCAGGTTATTTAAACCCAGAAAATATTTTTAGATTGTAAGAATTTTTTTTTGAGATAATGATTTTGTGATATAAGTACTACTAATGAACTCATAACTGGGGGGAGAGAAGATGTTCATACCTTTCCCAAGGGTATTTGTGTGCAAGTAAATATAACAAAACCAATAGGAATTTGAACTCTGGTCTCTGATTAATAATTGCAAGCCATTATCTATTACATCACCCACACATACATGCTTACAGTACTTGATATTCCCAGGTGGTCACCCATCGAGGTACTGATCAGGCTCAATGTTGCTTAACTTTGGTGATCATACAAGAAACGTTGTTTCAATGTGATGTGGCCATAAGCCTCTAAGTGGTACAAGTAAGAATCAAGCTAAAGAGTGAATTCATGCAAGACAATATTTCTTCATGGATTTTAAAATCTGATTTTTTAAACCAAAAGAAGACATGTTAGTGGAAGGATCTACCAGTTTCTCTAGAAAACATGTCCATTAAAATAAATGTATAAAAATTGATTTTGATAATTAAATAAAATACTTTCTATTTGATAAGCAACATTAATCTTTACCTTTTAATCTTTACTTACCAATGTTAATACCTTCAATATAATGAACACTGATAATGACATATGGGTATCCACCTTGCTTGATTTCCGACTTGTATTGAACTGTATCATAAAACTGGAATTGAAACCTAGAGTCAACAGAGAGCACAGTTGTCAGTCTGCCTGCCACATCCACTTTTGTTTTCAACTTGGAGTAAGGACCAGTCACATGCTTTGCAGCAACTGTAGTTTGACAAAACTGAGATCGGACATTGATGACAAGGTTATCCATATTTGGACTTTTGGACCAAGGAATTTGAAAGACCTAAGAAAGAAAATACAAATCAATTTTTAAAAAAATAAATAAAAAAATAACTTTATAAGGAAAGACAATAAAGCAATATTATTATACCAATACATTGGTAGTGACATTTGTGAAAATGCTGGGATAAAAGGAAAGCTTCTGGTGAGGTAAGTTAGATAGTAAGAATTGTATGTTTATATTTAAAGAAATATATCAAACTACATGAAAGACAAAACAAGAACATCCATCCAAAAGCTGTCACAATAATCTCATATATATATATCTGTCATGAACAACACATCTTTTAATATTATATTGGTATATTATATATACAAGTTGCTTGCCTTCTTCAGCTATAATCTAACAGATAGCACTTGATTTCAATGTCTTGCTGCTAAATGGACTAAAATCAGTAGTCTATGAAAAATGAATTCTGTTTGTCTGACACAAATTTTCCATTATTGCAGCAATAGACTGACTAAAGAAAAAATGTTAATACTTTTCTTTGATGATCCTCATTATTGTAATTTTATGATTTTCACTTCAGCTAAAATTTGGTACCCTGTAATTCATCAAAAATTAAAATAGGTGGGAAAGTGAAATAGCTATACTAGCCATTTCCCTACAAGGAAATATTTGGCATTCATTGACCGAGCAGCAAGTACTGTTTTCAGTTGAAATTTATAAATTTATAAAAATTTCAATTCTCTTAAATTTTCAGGAAAATAGGTTTCTCAAGTTTGTTATCTCTCTTTCCAGCATTGATGGGGGATTTCCTTTCTAACTTTTTATTTGAAGTAGTGTGAAATATTAACGTCTTGATTATGTTTTCTCCTTGAGTTATGTGCTACATTTTAGTTGTTGCTGCTGTTGGTAGTCCTCAAGTGATGTGGTTTCTGTTATTTGGTACAGTTCTTTGTGAATCTGTAGTGCTAGTCCACAATGTTCAAAGAGACAAGCTTTTCACTAGCTCAGCCTTTTTTCACCATTGATCTTAGGAAGTGGTTGCATAAAGTTGACAGTTTATATATTTCTGAACAGGTTTGGTGCTATGCATGACATCCATATGAAAATCTTGATCCAACGACTATTTAAGAGCATTACTAGAATTTTCAGGTTGATGTTTTGGTTTTGTAGCAATTTGCAGTGTAGAGCAAAACTACTTCTGGTGCAGCTTATTCCATGTTCAATTTCCTTTTCTCCAATACTTAATTTGTTATAACTGATCCATACATTAAGTTATCTGAAGTGTTTAGCATTTATTAATTCCACATACTGAATTTTTATGATTATTCAGAGTAAGTGCCATCAGTGCTTTCATTCCAATTCCAGATTATAGTTTCTGTTTTGAAAAGGTTTATCTCAACTCCTATTAATTGGAACACTTAACAGAGTATGCTGATTTTCTTTTCAAGATTATTCTTATCTTGTCATCAACATAGCTCCCTTCATCATCAGTAAATTGAAAGCAAAGGTAAATCAGGGTCATTGTTTTCTATTGGTAGACCCATTTAGGACATGGTATAGAATGCCTAGATAGGGCACATTCATCACATCTGTGTTTGTAAATGTGCAGGGCATAATCTAGTAAAAGATTAAATAGACTGGTTCTCTCATTTCCTTCTTGATGAGGTTTGAAATTTTTTTTTCTCTGAAGACTTCTTTCATAAAAGAGAAAAACCTGTTATTGAATTCAGGAAGAAAATAAGCTATTTTGAAAAGTTATGTTTCACTGTCTAGTGATGCTTTATTATTCCTTAGGTTTTTTTAATAGCATTCTTAACTTTCTCATCAGTAGGTTCATTATTGTTTATGTTTGGGCATGGGCTTTGTAATGATTGGATTAAGATTGGTATATGTTCTATTTTTTCAAGCATCTTAAGTTTTATGTAGTCAGGGTTGAAATGTCATTCAAAGTGTTCTTTGAGATCAGGGCATTTATTCTGTGAAGGTTTTGATGATAGTAACATTATAATGTTGCAAAAGATGTATAAAATCCATTCAAATATAAAATAGATGACTTATTAGTATCATACTTCAATATAAATATCATCTAAGTAAAATCCAATTAATTTTATCATCAAAAAAAAAAAAAAAAAAAAAAAAAAATTTAATTTTAGGACTCACCTTGCCATTAGATTCTTGCAGAACACTTGGGAGAAATTCCAATTTGAGATGAACATCTTCCAAAATAAATGAGGTCATGGATTTTGAACAAGTAATATTTTCCAGAATAGAGAATGGATCTGAGGTATGAATATCAGCTCTTTGGCATAACCTGGCATAATAATAACATTGTTTTGATTAGCAACATTTCTAAAGATTTTATACTTTCAAAGTAATAACATCTCAAATGGAACCCTTACATATTGCAAGTTTAAACTTTAGCATTTTTCCTATCGGTGCATTTCTGTAATAAGGTTCTTAGGATCAAATTTTGTAAATCATATATCTTAAGGAAGTAAATTTGTCTGCAACAATCTGTAAGGGGGTGAAAATTTTATTAAAGCTTTAAAAACAAACATTTTAAAAGTATAGATACAAAAATATAAAACAAACAGGGATGGATAGAAAGGATAAGGAAAACATTTACTTACTGTAAAGTGTTGGACTGAAAAAATATAACAAAATAATGCTAGCCAGTTATCGATTCAGTTGCTTTTCAGAGCAAATTGAGAACAAAAATATCTGCATAACAATTAAAAGAAGTGAAGAAAATAAATTAATACCAGGTAATCTGTTATACCTGACATACTTATTCTATTATTAATAGACTCTCCCACACATAATAAGTAGTAGTGGTGGCCAGTTGGGGCTCAGTGGTGTTGAAGTGAACGATGGAATAACTAGAAAATTTGTTATAAGTAATAAAAAAATAAAAATGCAACTCGACACTGGTTCCAACCTATCTATCATAAATTTGAATATGTGGAAGAAGTTGGGGAAACCAACTTTAATGAAAAAAAATAAAATCGCGAGGTCAGTGACGGGAGAAAAAATACAATTTATAAAAAAACACGAAAAGCTAAACTATTTGTTATAGAAAATACCATGAACTTACTTGGTACGGATTGGATAACAGAATTTCAATTATGGGATTTACCCATACATTCTTTCTGTTACAAGGTTGGAAATTTAAACTGCGAAGCCCAAAAATTACTACAGAAACTTAAGGGAACTTTTCCTACTGTTTTTTCTACAGGTTTGGGAATGTGTACCAAGATGGAGGCAAAATTACAGCCAAAACAAAACGCTCAGGCGATATTCAAAAAGAAACGGAATGTGCTGTTTGCTTCAATTGAACAGATAAAGAATTGGACAGATTAGAGAAAACGGGTATATTTAAAAAAAATTGAATGGGTAACACCGACAATATACGTAAAAAACAAGCTTCAGAAACTAAAAATGAAGCTGACACCAAAAAAAACTGAGGATTGATTTACCCGCAGACAAGGACATGCAGTATTATTAAATGTTTTAAGTCAACAAGAACCTACAGAAACTGATTCCATCTTTAAGAAGCGCAAAGCGGAAGGTTGTTTCTGGTAACGCTTTGGAGATATATATATAAAAAAAAAAAAAAAAAAAAAGCAGATTGGCTATATGAGGTACTTGGTGAAAGGGGAAAAACTCATGTGCAGTAAACAGATCAGACGACGTTTTTCAGACAGCGGTCCCGCGAAAAAAAAAAAATTTTTTTTTGTTGTTTTTTCTTCTTATTTTCTGTAAAAATTTGAAAAATAAATAAATAAAGAAAACTTTTTACTCCTGCGGAGTAAAGTTTTAGTGGGGGGTGTTATACCTGACGTACCTATTCTATTATTAATAGACTCTCCCACACATAATAAGTAGTAGTAGTGGTGGCCAGTTGGGGCTCAGTGGTGTTGAACGAGTCGGTCAATATCGGACATTGAAGTACCAACCATCACAACTAGATTGCTGCATCATTAACTCTTATTTCAAGTTCCTAACGTTTTGTACATTGAAACTAATTTAGGACAACTTATTGAAATACAAGCCTCCACTGTGAAAACTACTCTATAACAGAATCAGCAGTATAAATCACAAACAGATTACATTTAAACCCAGCAGCAATTCCTTCTGCTTACAGAGGGAAGGCTGCATAGACATAATCTAAATAGTTTCAAGAATTTTCAGATGGTAATCTAAATGTGGTTTGTTGATTATGGAGAAAAAACCTCTGGTAAAAAAATGAGACACAAACCAGATTTCTATCTTTTCCCATCTTTTAGCCTGATGCTTCTCTTCTTGTGTGATCTAAGACCTCTGAGACATTTTCTTTCAAAATGGTGCCATTTCATCAGTGTTGAATACCTGTTTTGGTAATATAACTCTTAATTATTTTCTGCAAAATCTCAGGAAATTCTTGTGCTGATTTTTGGTCAGTGGATGCTGCCTCTCATTATTTTCACATTTCAGTGGTCAAACCTTGTTCTAAATTTACCAAACCAACTTTTGGTAACCTGAATGTCCGTAGAGTTGATACTTATTCTTTCATCTCCATTTCAAAAACTTTGCCTTTTTACTATAACAGAATCTATTGTGATGCCTTTTTCATGAGTCCTGCACCCACAAAAAGTAGCAGACAAAAACAGATCACATACATAATGCAATTTCTTTGCACCTGATGGCATTGTTGCAGAGACAACTTTAAGGATCTCTTCTTTTTTCTGAATATAGTACACAGTTGACTATTTAATGACAAATCTATTGCAACAACTTAACTGTTTCTGAGAGTCATAACTTCTTGGCATCACTCCCAGTTGCACTAGGCCCATGACAAATGGTTATTATTATTAGTAGTATTACTTTTAGTGCAAAAGATGTTTTTACAAAGCACAAATAAAAAAAACTGAAGTTTCACTTTTTTTTTAAGAGTGGAAGTATCATCAAAATATTTTTATGTGTGTAAAAAATATTCAAATAAAAGTGTTTCTGCAATGAAATTCAGGTGATAATTTTTTTTAAAGTGTCGATTTATTCCTTAAGTGTTTTTTTCCTTGTACATGCACAAAAAATCCAACTGAAAGTTGAAGACAATTTTAAAAAAATCCAATAGAAAAAAGCAATTTAAAAAGTCAATGTTGCAACATGCAAAAGTCGTTTGTTTAGATAGTCTCCTTCGCATTAATATTTTCTTTAAGTAGTCTGTGCAAAAGAAAGAAGTAAAGAAAAACTCTTTTTGAAGAAATGATTTCAAGTGAAATTTTGAGAAAGAATGGTTAATCATAAAAAAATGCATTTAATGAATTTTACAATATGTACACTGCAAATAACAGAATTCATAAAAAAGACAACTGGGAAAACTGTATAAGCCTCAATGGAACAATTTCCTTGTGGGCTTTTGGTAAACCATACAACTGGGACCATCCACAATCAAATCTGACAGCCTCATAGATGGCCACAGAAAGAACATAGTCCTTTACTAATTTGAGCAAACACTTTCTAAATTTTAGCTCAATGTCCTTGGTTTTGTCATGTGTAACATCTGGCTCCAGATGTATAAACTTACTGGCATCTCCCAAAATTGTGATCATTTTGTTCAAGTAATTCTTATAGTCTAATACCACCATGCTCACATCCATGTTAAGTTTAATGATGATATTTTGTTGCAACATTTAAGAACAAAAAATGATTATGTCACCTTCACACTATAATCAGGAATTGTTGCTGGGATTAAATGTAATCTATGTGATTTATACTGCTGATTCCCCAGAAGTAATTTTTCCCCTTTCCTTTTTTTAGCTGTTGTACACATTTTTGTTTTTGATTCACTCAAGTGAAGATCAATAACTGGTTAGCATTTTTTGTTATTTCTCTTTTTTTTTATTGCTATATCTTTTCAATCCACCATTTTACAATAAGTAGTATTTTTTTTATCCTTGCTCTTCCTCTCCTTTGTTTTATATTTTTGTAGGTATTTATATATATGTTTAAAATGTCCATTCTTAATACTTGTCCTCATCTAATCTTTATTATATAAAAAAAACTTTAATTTAATGTTGCTCCCTTTCAACATTCCCAAAGTATTACTGACCAAAGTGAAGTAGATTGAAAAAAAAAAATAGAAAAAAAAGAACTTCCACATAAAGCAAATAAAAATAAACTTGGAATAATTATACAATCTTTCCAGTACATATTTGTAATATAAATCTTGTTCATTAATTTTAAAACATAATGAATGAAAGTGAGGTAAACAATATTTAAAAAGAAAAAATGTAGTTCATTTTTCTTAGTATTTTACTTTTTGTCCACATTCTCACGGCATTATGAAGTGATGACTCCTATAAATAGAATCATAGATGCTGGTTAGAATTACACAGGAGAGACAGTAAGTAATGTACACAACTGAATAAAAACAAATGAGAAATTGTTTAGTTTTTCTTTTTATTCCAAGATTCCTGAGATTTTAGAATTTGATGAATGGCCATGTGATTTATCTGCTCTGTATCTGATTTTTATTAGACAAGTCAATGTTTTCACAATAAAATTGGAATTAACCAATTATTTTTAGTAAAATTTTCTATTTAGCCAATACATGAAATGTAATGGTTACACAAAACAATGATAGTTTAAAAGTGCAAAGTGGGTGTAGTAGGCTGAAGGCATAAAAGAAATTATCTGACTGAATTTGTTTTAGAACAAATTTCTAGATTGCATACATTCAGAACTTTCCTATAAACCATTATACTAGATTATTATGTTGGCTAATATAATGGAGAATGTCATATGCTAATAAAGAAACATTTAATGATAAATTACCTAAAATGTACAAAAATTAAAAAGTATCTTGTTGGTTTAATAAAAATTGGTCAGGATTCCAATTCTGCATCCAACCAAGTTACTTTGTGTTTGTTGTACAACAGTAAACTGTTACTAGTCAGTCTGTCTCTCTAGTTTTGAACATCATAAGAAAATATTTGGATTAAATTATTATGCTGCTGTGAAATGATTTTGACTTTCATAGCTTCTTGGTTAACTCAAACAAGAAAAGCAAGTTTAATAACTGTGAGAGTATTCAATTTATTCAAAATTGAAATTTACTGAAGCAAGGACATCAAAAAAGAAGAAAAAATGCAATGATTATTCATTACATTTTTTCTATACAGAACTTCTATACATTTATCAGATATTGTATGTTGGCCTTCATGTGTAATCACAAACATGCCAGATGGATATTCACAACTGCTGTTTGATAATACTCATTGAAACATTTAAGATTGGTGAGTTGAAGGATTCAGTCAAGAGAAAGGAAAACAAAGAGAATGATTTGCTTGTACTTATTGTTAAAATGACATTACAAGGAACATTGTTACATGTGCTAATGCAAATATTCCCTATCTATTCACTAAGTAGTGTGACGTGCACCCTCAGGCCATCTTGGAAAAGTGAAAAAAAAAGAAAAGACAACCTTAACATGAGCATACTTAACCTGGAGTCAAATCCATTTCAGTCCTCCCTCTGTAACCCCACTCACTCACTGAGCATATTCCTTCTATCTTTCTCTAACACCACTCTCTCATTAAATATACGCTCACCTGCCCATCTTTTTGTTGACACCTCACACAATAAAGTCTACACAGATAAGCAGCCGAAAAGACAATAGCAGTCCTGCAGACAATAACTTATCTAGAAGAGGAATATGACATACCCAAAAAAGGAAGTTGTATGAGTGAGATGAATGACTGCCCAAATTGAGGCCCACATGACCAACCCAGACTGCACATGTGGGAAATTTAACAGTAGCATCAGTTTGAGAATCAGCTTGCTAGGTGACAGCACCTTAAAAAAATATTCCCTAAAGATCAGATTTAGCCATCTTTAACTTAACCTGAAACAGTGAAATGAATGCTTGCATTGAGCATTTCAACTATTGGTAAAGCTTCAACCAACCTGAACGCAACAGAAGCAATTTCTACGAGACACCAACCCTCTGAGGATATGATTACCTGTTGTGGAAACAACTATCTTTGAAAGAAAGAAAAGGTGTAGTGCCTAATTAATTCATACACCACATGAGAGAGTTTATAAACCTCAGCATTCAAGCTAAATCAGCGAAGGAAAAGAAATTTGTAAAATGATGAACTAATGCCAAGAAAAGAAATATGAAGATATTTGTGAAAAAGGAGACGAGAAAAGAGGAGGTGACACTAATATAAAAATAAATAACAAAAAAGGAAGGAGAGAGAATTTTCTACTTTTCTTTTATTTCAGTTGACGACATCCAGTTAAGTACTTTTGTCATTATGGAAATCATGTACATAATTCCGCATACATGCCCACACACACTTTCTACAAAACCCTGTTCATTTCAACTTTATCATGCCTTTATTGTGTAAATAAATTGTTTTTGTTCTAAAGCCTTGTCTGTTGTCTGTCTATCTTATCGCCACATATGTAGATATTCTGGCCCTGAGAAAGGATATTATTTCTTTTTGAACTACGTGGGATTACTTTCTTGATCTTATTTATACTGCATTGATTTCATGGTGTAATAAATATGTATAGTCACCAGCTATTCATAACAGTAGTAAATCCTTAGCAAAGCATAAAAGAAAGAAAATGATCCTAACAAATATTCGTTACTATAAAACAGAGATACTCTTTACTTGCTGCTTTTTCAATGTAATGATTATTTCAGCTATATATTTTTTAAATTTAGCTTTCTATATAACTTCAGTATCAATTTACACATGCTTTTTTTAAAATCATTTAATCACCCCAAGCTACTAAAACACAAGGGGTTTCTGAGTCTAAGAGAATATGAGAAAAATATACTATTAAGGAAAGAGAACAATAAAAGAACAAGAATTAAGAAGACAGAAGATAACAATTGACATTGCATTTAAAGTTTTTGAAGATCAAACTTGAATGGGAAGCAAGAGGCCAGAAAAGAGTTCCACAAGTGAGAGGTGCAAGAAATGAAACTTTTAGCATAGAACTTATGGTTACATCTAGCAAATTCAACTATAAAATTATGAAACTTTGCTGCCATTCAAATACATTGCTTAAATTCATAAAGTCTAGGTACCATATAGCTCTAAGTACATCAGAACAATTACCATGGTAGTATTTATAGAAAAGGTACAGGGATGCTACATTATGATGGTGGGAAAGTGACTGAAATCAGGATGCCAGGTCAAGACTAATAACATTACAGATTCTTTGGATTTTATCAAGAATCTCTGAATAATATATAGCAGGAGCACCAGACCATATGAGGAAGCAATAGTTAAAGGAAAGGATGAATGGTAGACTTATAAATATATAAGATCGATTCTGATGATAAAAATTGTCTAGTACAACATAGTGAACCAACTTTCCTAGCTGTAGACATAGCAATTGATACAATGTACTCTATCCACGTCATGTCAGCAAAAAATGTTAGTACTAGAAAGAGCAATGAGCCACTCTTCTCTTTGCCCCATTTGACAAAAGATTGTAGGTTATTTTTTTTTTTTTTTTTAGATCAGCTGCCAATTTGACCCTATCAAACCAATCACACTTACTTTTAAGACAAAAATAAATAGTCGTCTCATCAGCATAGATACCAAGCTGAGAATTAATGACATCAGTAAGGTCATTTATAAAACAAGGATGGAACCCTGGGGTACACCTGCATTAATGCAAAAAGATCTAGAAGAGTGGCCATTCAAAATAACTTGCATTTTTCAATTTGGCAAAAAAGACTGAATCAGAAATACCATAACCTTTCAACTTATGAAGACAAATATGCCAAATGCTATCAAATGCCTTTGAGATACCCAAAGCAACATACCAAGCTTCACCATTTTTATTTAAAAGCTTGATATACTCTTTCAGCAATAATCATTCATATTGGAAATTGACTAGAGAAGCAAAAGCCATATTGTTTATCTGAAAGAAAACCAATCCTGCAAGGTGAGATACTTAACCAATTCAGAGTTAATTAGAGCATCTAGTACTTTGCCAAAAACAGGTAGAAGGCTAATAGGGTGATAACTTGTAGGATCAGACAATTCACCAGAGTTCTTAAAGACTGGAACTACAGAGGAGGATTTCCAACAAGCAAGAAAACAAGAAACAAGTCATTTTTTGTAGAGTTTAGAAAAACAGGAGCCAGTTCAGGAACACATTTCTTAATGACTATTGCAGGAATAGCATCAAGTTCACATACTTTGTGAGGCTGCAGTTTACAGATGATAGCAGAAACTATGAACCAAGTTATATGCATATCACTCAAAAAAAAAAAAAAAACCCAAAAAACCTCAGTTTTAAGTGGAAAGTCAAGCAAATCCAGATGAGTCAAGGAGTAGAACTTGAAAAGAATTTACAAGCAAAACATTCTGTTTTATCAGCAGATAATGTTAACACCTCAAATTGAGGGAAGAGAGGAGGAATAGAAAACACTCTTATTTAGCATACTGTTATTACAGAGCCTCCAGTTATCATGTGAACCAAACTTGTTAAAGACTATACAGTGCTTCATTCTATCAGCAAACAAAGACTTAGCCTCTTTAAGGGCATGTTTATAATTATTTTAAGCAGGAACAAATAGACATATGTCGTAATCGGAAGTATCACGCTAGTACATGTGGAAAAAAGTGATTCCTGTCGGTTATAGCAACTGAATAGGCTGGTGTGAACCAAAGAGAAAATTGTGGTTACACCTGGTATTTGTAAGAAGGTACAAGAACATCAGTGCTGGCTTTAATCCAAGAAGAAATCTCTGTGGCACAATAGGAAAATGAAGAATACCAATTTAAGGGGCATCTTGAATAAAGTCATGAAATGAATCCCGAACAGTATGTTAATAACAAAAAAAAGTCTTGTGAATAAAATTGTTATTAAAACATTTTAACTCACTGAAAATGTTGCCGATTGATTTTTGGCACCTCAACCAATGGTCTTTGGTTTTGGATGTGAATCCATGCTTTTTGGATATCTTTTGTAAAAAGTTGCTGTGGATCATTTAAAAATACCTTAAATAAAATACAAAAGAAGAGTTATTTAATCAAAAATTATTGAAATTTGCCTTAATAATCATCCATGACAAAAATGGAAAAAAATTTCTAACCTTTTCCATCTGTGGGTTATCATTTGCATCCAGGAAATAAGGCCGCAACAGAAAAATAAGTGCTACAGTAACATCACAAAGAACTTTGGGGTTCCAGTTTTGAAGAAAACACTGGTCCCACAGCCACCACATAGCTGCAGTATCCAACACACTGACAAAGCCCTGGAATAAGAATATCAAAAAGTTTTAACAAAGAGTTATGCTTTTTTGTCTCATCCTAAAAAAGCAGTTCCATAATAATGAATTGCAAGTGTGACAATTCAGTTTAAAGATTAGAGGTTAAAGACAGCTTGTGTTGCATTCGATTTGTAGAAAGGTATGAAGTGGTGAAAATTTGACCTTTTAAAAGGCATACAGCTTGTCCACAAAAAACAAAAGGAGTACATAACGTGTAAATTCAAAATTTTTATATTCCAAAAAACGTCTTTTTTTTTTCTAGTCCAGTTTCCTTTTTACATTGTCCTTTTATTGATGTCTGGCACATGGACATAGTAGTGAACACAAGAATACATGTGAATATTAAACATAAAAATGCACAGCTCTCTTCTAAAGTGTGTTACTTGAAAAGCATGAAATTTCTAATAACTATAAATGCTTAAAATCATTTCATTTCACCAATTTGTTAAATTTAAGGAATAAATCTTTCACTAGAGACAATATCCATACCAGAGGTTTCAACAACACTAAGACCTTTTAAAATTGTTAATATAAACTCTCACATACACTTAAAAAAAACTTACAAACAAAATAGTAAAATAATTTTGAATAATCCAGGGGCTTCTGTTGTCACAGCTGCCATATTTATATCATTCATTCATGGTTTGCAATTCATCAGTGGATCCATATGAATTATCAAAACAGACCTGTGCAGTAAGAATTTATAGTAGGAAAAACTGTTGCACTGGAGAGAATTTATTTGGTAGCACAAGGAATTATTACAACTGGATACTTCCAGGCTGCAATAGATGACCAGCATTTCTACATGTCACACTCATGCTCCGATGCAATTCAAAGTACTTGCTGACACCACCTTCACAGCTATTGGACTTGTAGGAGATCTTATCTGCTGAGAATCAGTCTTCATATGCAATAGGAGTGACAGACTTGAAATTATTGAGGGTTTGGGCCTGTCAACTATCCTCATCTGTTCTGCCTGCCAGTTGAGTGTGGTGGTTGTTACCTGTAAAAAGCTATTTGGAGCCACATGTGAGATATGGCACCAAGTAGGAATCAACATGTATGAACTACTCCCAAAGTTTGTTTTTTTTTTTTTTTTTTTTTTTACACTGGATGTTGAAGCAAATGGATTGTCAAATATACCAATTACTACTATTATAATAAAATATTTAAATGATAAATAGAAAGTAATCAATAAATAAAAAATAATATAATAAATAAAATAACTGACTAATATAAAACCATTTTTCTAAATCTTATTGCTGTTAAAACAATTTAAATTTTAAACAATAGAAAACAAATAGTAAAAATACACAAAAAGTAAACATTAGGATTCAAAACAGCTCTCCTACAAATTCAAAGATACATCCTCTTCCTTAAAAAATATTTATATTTTTAGTGACAAAAATACTAGAAAATTTTTGAACATTTAAATTTTATAACTTTTGAATCTTAAAATAGGAAGGACAAACAGCAGAAGTCAAGGGTACAATTCCTGTATCAGCCATACAAATGAAAAAAGATCATATTTGTTTAACAAAATAATGTGGATATTTTAATTTATCCAATATGAGAACAAGTTTGCAATTCAAATAATGCTTTCATAATGAAATGGTTAACAGGCACTTTCAGTGACATGCCAACATAAGTGATTGTGTTATCTTTCAAAAAGCATGTTGAATATTTATTAGCTATGATTTATTTATTGAATGTAAAAATTGATGATTTTGTCTTAAGCATGACATATACTGTTCATTGGAAAATAATTTTTTTGTAATATTTAATAATACATGTGTAAAAAGTAAACTAGAAACAAGGAAATTCTTTAACCTCAAATTCAACTAAGATAAACCAAATTGGTTGCCTAATGATGGTTTTTATAGAAACCATTGTGTTCAAACATGGCTGACTCAACACTATTACATGGTGGCCTTCATTGATATCACACCTAACAATACATAACTCAGTATTTTTGTTTTGTTTATATATATATATATATATATATACACACACACTCACATATTAAATTAGTGAAGAACAATCTGTTACTGTTATTATCTTGACAGCTTATAAACTTATTCAGTTTTAATAAATCATTAACAGTTACTTTGTTCTAAGACACACTTAGCTCACATAATCAAAAGCAATATCCTTCCAGTGTGGCTCACTATTCAATTGAGCTGACCAATCAAGGCTCAGTTATCAACTTTTTAAGATTTAGGAAATTCACTACTTTTCTGGTGCAGACTAGCAACTAATAACCACATGAGATAGAGCAGAAGCATATTTGTCTACAGTTATGTCATCACAAACTGAGATAATATTAAGACTGCTATATTTATAGGATGTAGATGAATTCCTCATCAAAAATATTCAATTTACAACAACATTTTTCAAATGCATCACTGCCAACCCAAACGATGTAAATTATGCATCCAAATTTACCATTGTTGTACCACAAAATCAAGGACTTATCCAAATGCACATATCCTAACAGATAATGAGGTGCATTTATCTCAAACACACATATACCAAACTCTAGGAGCATCACATAAACCATACATGGTTTAATTTTCATAGCTTGTCACCGAAAAATTTTGGTAGCAGTCTCAAAAAGATATCTCACTATTTCAAGTATGAAGCCCCAACATCCATCATGTGACAAGCCCATTGATTAGATGAAGCCAAGGAAAGAGTAAGATTTTTTTAATATGTTAGTAATTCTTTTTACAGATTTAGTAATGATATTAACATTCCTTGTCTCTTCAAAATAGTCCTCTGAAGTTATTTCAATGCACAAACACTAATTGAACAAGAAGCAAAACAGAAAATTCTCTTTTTGCACCTTCTACCAATGACTGCAATTTTATGAGTATTCTTGCTGCCATGAACAAGGATAAAAAGATATCTGTATCTTCTTTTTTCAGAGCTTATTCATTGTTACCATATGCACCGGGACATTTACAGGCCCAATGAAATCCAGTCATAGACAATACACCTTAATAAATGTGTATCCTGATCAATAGGTTTCAGCTTAGGACCCTATGGCTGCACTAAGGATTGCTTTGATGAAGCAATCTTGGTCAGTGGGGGATATCACCTTCATGGAAGTAGACGATTATCCAGTGGTGGTCTCCACATGAATATTACACCTAATTAGAGGATAGATTTTGGGCACAGAATACAGGTTCGATTTCAACTTCAGAATAATTGATGCTTTGATTTGATAAAAAAAATCATGTCCCAATATACATATCATGTCGCATAACAAAATGAGTTTGAGAAAATCATAAAACATTTAGTATCTAGCGCATTCAACAAATCCTTATTACTATTTTCAAGTATATTATAAAGAAAACAAAAGTAATATTCTCCTTATTTACATTTGAACTAATATCCTTGTCTTTGTTGCAATTATAATATTTTGTCCATTCTTCTGTGGCCTTCTTCAGGTATCTATTTGGATAACTTTCAAGGAATTTCAAACAGAATCCTTTATTTAATTTATAAGGATAGATTGTTGTCATTCTGCTGTCCATGTCTACAGATATCTTGTTCTTTTTTGTTACTGCTCAGTTATTACTAATCCTGTTTCCACTGAGCCTGAGTCTGTACTACTCAGCCCAGGGATTGAACTCACTATTATCATGCCATCAAATTCATTAACCAATGCTTTCATCTCTAGGCTATTGTACCATAGGACAATTTTGAAGTTTGAGCCTTAAACCCAATGCTCTTATTGTACTCTAAGAATGTTGCAAAAAAAAAAAAAAAAAAGTATCAAAGAAATGCAAGACCAAAAGAAAACTGAGTGCAAAACATGGGCAAAAAATTATATTTTCACTTTTTCCAAAAAATAGATTTTTTGCTTGAATCATTGAGATGAAGAATTATTATAAAATGATTTATTTTTGATCATCTTGTTTATCATCATCATCATCATGATTTTAATAATTCGATAAGGTCAAATTGGTAGCTGATCTGACCTAAAAAGTGACCTGGGAAAGGGAATGGTGTATTAATTAAAATTAACAAGGAATGGTGTATTAATTTTAATACCTCAAAGACTAAACTGCTCTCCATTAATCATTTGAGAGACTTCTTTCTGCCTTCCAACAGCATGGCTGATGCTAACCTCCAGGAGAGAGACTCGTGCCTTCTCAGGTTAACGTCCTCTGCTGATATGAAGTGGAAAGATTATATTGAATTAATTGCTAAATCTGCTACTAGGAAAAAATGGTTCGCTGTATTGTGCTAGACAATTTTTCTTTTCAGAATTTACCTTACATATTTATAAGTCTACCATTCATTCTGGTGCACCTGTTATATATTCAGAGATTCTGGATAAATTTCAAAGAAGAATCTGCAATGTCATTAGTACTGATTTAGCATCCTGCCTTCAGTCATTTTCCCACCACTGTAATGTAGCATCCCTGTGCCTTTTCTATAAATACTTCCATGGTAATTGTTCTGTTCCTCTATAGTACCTAGACTTTATGAATTTAAGCACATTACTATTACAAGTTCAAAATGAAAATTTCCAAACTCAAAATGAGATAACCCAAATTTAATGCAAGAATAATGTTTATTGATATAACCATACAAGTTTAATACTCAACATCGTTCAAATTTAATAGTGGTAGAAGTATTTTGGGGATTTTTGCTTTGACTTGATTGCATAGCATTGGCGTTACTTCCTTTAAGGAATCTTCAACAATGCCTTCCAATTTGTCCAAATCAAAAATCCTTTTTTATTCTCCCTGATGGAATTTCTGCAACTGAAGATCTCACATATTTTCAGCCAATTTTCTTTTGATGAATGCCTTTATAACCAACCAAACATTTTCTATCTGGTTAAGCATACGGCCGTATGGTGCCATCTGAAGAAAATGATTGCACTCAAATTCTGAATTGAGTAAAACGTGATCAATGTTGGAGTGGCATGGAGCACTGTCAATGACAATTATAGGCCCTCTGCAAGCATTCCTTTATCCAATTTCCAGCTGCTTCCTAATTGTAGGAACCTCAATGAATTTCATGATGTATTAGCTCAATGCATCCAATTAGATGAATATTTGCACCCTTAGAAGCAGCTAAAGTTGTACTGCATCTTTTTCCTCTCAATGATCAACCTTGAGTTCTCATAATATGCAGGTTTAAATTTGTTTTGTCGCATAACAAAAATGAGTTAATAGGATGGGGAAATTGTCAGCTTGATAATCCAACAACCTTTCAGCAAATTCCTTTCTCTTTTCCTTATTAGTGCTACTATTCTCCATTTCAGGCTCAAATCATATCTTTGATAGTGTACATTAAGCCATCCTGGTGCTGGTGAATACATTCACTTGAAACAGAAATATTGTGCTTCTGAATTTCTTCTGTAAGGTGAGCACAGGTAATTCTTCGGTTCTGCTCAATCTGATCAACCAAAAATTGTCACTGGGCCTCGGAAATCTTTGAATGCCTATAACCTCCTCTTGTATCTACTTCGTAACATTCCTTTATCCATCTATATACTGAGTATTTACAGTCTCCATCATTTTTGTAGACTGCCAAAAATTGCCTTTCCTTTTCATAGGATTTGGATTTTCTTATGTATGTCTTTTGGGAATGAGTGTAGCTTTTTTCAATTGGTAACATTATTTGACTATATACAGAGTGATTGAAAAGTAACTTCCCATTTTAAAATACTTACAATTTATTTATTAACTATAATTTTTACAAAAAAGGGATATGAGAGGAAAGGTTTTATTTAAAATTTTATATGGGCACCAGATTTTGCTGCCACCTTCTCAAGCCACTCAGGAATCATGTCAATGGATTTCACCAGGATCTCCTGTGGTATGAAAGATATAACTCCTTGTATTCGCCCTTCAAGTTCTTCCAAAGTCTTGTTTGGTATAGTAGACGTGTACCTTTAGCCAACTCCAAAGAAAAAAGTCACAGGGTGTTAAGTCAGGATTCTTGGCTGACCATACATAAAATAGGGGGTTATTTTTCAACCAACATGTAGAGTAGTGTTCAACAACTTTGAAAAACTTTGATTAAAATTCAAAACTGAAGTTATATATATATATATATATATATATATATATATATATGTATGTATGTATGTATGTATGTGTGTGTGTGTGTGAGAGACATTGTGCACTATTCACTAAAAAAAAAAAAAAAAAAAAAAAAAAAGAGGGAGAGAAAATGAGCTAAGCAGGTGGATAAGACCCAATTTATTTAGAAGCTTCAAAATATCAATTCTAGGATGTATGGAAAAAATGAATAGCGAATGCTTATTATTAGTGTATAGTTGCACAACTAATAATTGCATCTTTGTTTTCTCATTTTGACTTGGGGAAATTCTCATTTTGACCTTGTAAGGTATAGATTAGTAAGAAGGTTTTATCATTTTACATTTGAAATGTAGATGTAATTGTAAGTTCTTTGCTAAAAGTTTCTTTTCTCACATTTCTTTGCCTATAGAACTCTTCTGGCATCTTGCTTTCCAGTGAATTTTGATCTTCAAAAATTTAAATGCAATGTCAATCATTATCTACTGTCTCCTTGATTACTCTTTTATTGTTCTCACTCCTTAATGTTTTTTTTTCTTTCACACTCTTGTGTCTTAGTGGCTTTATTGTCTTGCTTAGGGTAAACTGATTAAAAAAACAAAAAAAGATGACCTAATTTTTCTTTAGAAATGACCCTTACCTCCCTAATCCATTTGTAGATATAAAATACAGGATCACTGGGTGCCAAGTGTTCCATAGAAAATGAAAGAAAATGTTGCAGCTCAGATGAGTTCAGATGTTTCAGATCAGATGAGACAATTTCCGTTTTCTTTTTATTGACCATATAATTTTTGGTCAGAACTTCCTGAAAATAATACAATAACGAAATTGATAAACATACTATTAAAGTTTTATTTTATTAAATGCCCAACAATATTTCTTCAGATTTCTTTTTATAGTGGAACACACCTATTCTATAGTTAATAGACTCTCCCACCTAATAAGTAGTAGTAGTAGTAGTAAAAGTCGCGGAGTTGGTCAGTCAGTCGATGTCGGACGACCGTTAGTCAGATATTAAAGTATCAGCCACCACAACTAGATTGCTGCATCATTACCTATTATATCAAGTTCCTAACGTTTTGTACGTCAAACCTATTTTAGGACCGACTTAGTGAAATACAAGCCTCCACTGTGAAACTACTCTACAACACTTTTCAACCATAATATTCAAAATTTCAAAAAATAGATGTATTATTCTAATATTTTTTTCCATTTATCCTCTATGTCCACATACATTTTCTTCAAAACATATGTATGTAATCAATTATATATATATCTATCTCAGACAATATTCTGCAAAAAATAAACTGTTAGTGAGCTTCATTTATAATATTGTCTTATGAATAAGGGCAGCTTTGTTGCCGAGATAGTTTTGGATTTGTCATTGGAACTAGGTATGAGTGTTCAAGATCCATTAAAAGCAAGAATTTTAAATGCTGACTTTTAAAGCAGGAAAACTTTCCCAATTTCAATAACTGATTCATAAATTTATACTTTGACTGGTAAAGTAAGATTAAAAGAAATATAGTTGAAATGTGTTATTTTAATGTTTACTCACATCATCTTCAGAAGATGAGGACAAGAATTGATTCTTGTTGCTTATTTATAGATGTTCATAGATACAGATAAATTGAAATTGAATAAATTGTATATAGAATTATAAAGTATAGGCAGAAATGGAATCAGAAACTGGATATAAAAACTGCTTTTCTCTTGATATCAAATTCCATTTTGGTTATTAGTATTGAATAAATTAATTACAAGCCAACTTGCGGCCAGATCGATTTACAACCTGTTGTTCATAACTATTCATGGTTGTAAGTCAAAAACTGTATATGAAAAATAAAAATGATCAAGACAAATTATTAAAAAATATACATGTAAGCTTAAGATTTCTAACCTTTGTGTCATTCTGTACATTGACTGCGGCAATTTGGTGAAGATGGGCATGCAAAACTGGGTCATGTTCTTTGAGAATATCCAGGACCTGCTTTGCAATAGTGAGCACATGTAACTGATAAGGGAAGCATGATGTCCTTACAAGTGTCAGGTACATGGCTAATTCACAGACATGCTCTCCTGAGAAGATAAAGAGAAGAGTAATGAAATCCTATTTAACACAAAAGCCCACTGGAGAAAAAGAAGAGCATAAAATCAATTAAAAAAGCAAGAGGGTAGGAAAAGAAAATGTAAAGAAAGTACAAAGTGACAGAAGGGAATTATATTCTGATTGCTAGATGCAAAGAAGAAAATAGCTGAACAATTATTATTTTTTATTGCAATTTCATTAGACTGTCAATCTACAAAAGCATAACAGTTGCAATAAAAAGCAAGTAATTAAAATGAAAAAAAATACTAGTCAAAATTATTGATAATAATAATGCTTTATCTAAAAATATAAATACACATAGATGAACTCAAGGCAGCTTTTTTAAATTAAATGATACAAAGCTATACATAATCATAAATCAATTAACATAACTGGACACTTGTCAGTTGATAACTTTATTTCTCATGCTTTTCTATTGGTGTATATACAGATACACATTAGTGTTATGCTGTATTGCAATTAGATCTCTTTCTGATTCATTCTGCATGCTGTCCAGATGTGAACACCATGAAAGCAGAGAATGAAATAAAAAAGTTGTTCTCTGCACATAGGCTCTAAGCATCACTTCCGGTCTACGAAGCAAGCTCTGGCAATGAAAGTGACACTGGCCAATCACAAATATTCCCACCAGAACAGGAGATGCCACTGGGGACTACCAAATCTGCTTTAAAGCAGGTCTCTGATACTAACTGGCCAATATGCAGGGCACTGCTGCCACCGCCACCTCTCAATATGACTGCTCCTCTCAATGACTGTGACCACTCCTAGGCTTGACTAACCACCTCAGCTATCCAGCTTCGACATGATAACATCTCAACCTTGACACTACCCAGCTACAAGGTTTCATCATCACTGATGCTGTCACCTTGGCAACCCACCACCATCACCTTGGCATGCCTGACTCACTACAGGGCATTCCCTTTGCAATCATCATCGCCTACCAACCAATAAAATTGACCCACCACCAATCAACACAACCAAATCCTTTGACCTTGGTTAAACCAGAACAAGAAATAGGTCGACTCCCAATGATTCCCTTACACCCAAATGCCATTGTGATGATCAGCACAAGAAATTGACTTTTCATCTATTTTTTAACATCTCTGTAGGACATCCCACATATTGAATAAATACACGTTGTTCAAAAATCTAATTCTCGCTATACCTTTCATCTCACAACCAGATGCTTATTATAACATTAGTAAAATCCTTTTTATTGCTTTTTTAATAATAACACCTGATGAAAACTTACCAATTTGCACAGGATCCTTTGTGTTAATGGGAAATGTAATTTGTAGAGCAAGTAGCCAGTATATGAGACATGGCTGATATGTTCTGTCATATACATACAAAACATTGAGGACACGGGAAGCTTCCTTTAAGTGAGTATCAGTCCCAAATTTGTTCAGGCTTGGTATTTTACTGTAAGTCTGGGTTACAAGCAAAAACAGATTAAAAATAATTTTGCTTCTATAGGCTGAGAATTTATACCTTTATTGTAAAATAATGAGCAATATGACAATTTGATTCTGTTATTGATTATTTTGATTGATAATTGATTCAATATGTAATTTATGTTGTTTCTTTTTTTTTTTAGATGAGGAATTATTATTATATACCTTATTATTCAGACATGCATGCTCATCTTGGTTTCTATACACACATTTCAGCTGTTATACCATTCAATCATCTTCAGGAACCTGTCTTATTATAGATCTTACTATTTGGATGAGTATGGTCATTGCTATACTTACTATATTTTAGCTGTTGTAATTTCTAGACTTTTTCAGGTGTTTGCTATTGTACCCAGAGGATGTTTTGCAATTTTGAAGTGAACCCATTTGGTAGAGTCTGTTGTTGTACTTAGTAACAGTGGAATTTCGAACCAAGTCCTTTATTCAATCCAATGGGATATATTTTTCCATTTTCCATATTTAGGGGATATTTCATAAATTTTCACTTGTCTTATTCACTTTTTATATTGCTTATTCATTTCTTCTGCTGAACCTGAGTACAAACATAATATAAAAGTTTCCATGAACATAGAAGAGTTGAGGACAACAACCAAAAATCCACCATTAACTGTCTACTGTACATAAGCAGTATATCTGAAAGAAATGCAGAGGAACTGCAGTTTATACATCAGAACAGTGTTCAAAAACAGTTCAACTCTTTGGAGATATTTCTCCTGAACTAAGTCTCTTTGGAAGAAAACATTGCTAAGAACTATATGTATTCCACCTTGTAGCAAAGAATACAAAGAAAGACCAGTCACCATATAAAAGGTAAGAGCTGATGAACATGAAAAGGCAATCATAATCAGTCATGGTTGGTCAAATATGGTGGGAAAAGGGTGGTCATCAACTCCTATGAAATTAAGTCAAGGTAATAGACACAGAACAACAGTGAAGGATAAGACAAATAAAAAACTCATTGTACATTTTAAGCAGTGACAACCTCCATGGTAGACTAAGCAAGGAGATAAATACCATCTGAGAACCGCTGATTAAGAAAGAAAAGACACATAAAAAATCTACCACCTGAGTACCGACATTAGGTTTAAGGTTCCAAAATGAAATCAGTGGACTGCTCAAGGTACATAGTCCAGTGGATTAAGTGTTGGTTTAAAGAAATCTGGTTTTCTTAGCAGTTATGAGTCCTTGCATCTAGTCATGCTGAAAAGTTATACACTTTGGTTTATCAGAAGAAATGGACAAGTGAAACAGGCGAATAAGACTGATGACCATTAATTGATATGAAATATCTGTTAAGTACAGAAAGTGGAAAAATGCATTAAGAAAAAAAAATCATCTATCCTATTGGATTAGATAAAAGGTTTAGTTCAAAATTCCACTGTTACTAAGTACAACAACAGACACCTGAAAAATGATGGAGGGTATAATGGCTGAAATGTGAGTATAAAAACCAAGATGTGCAAGCTTGGCTGATGAGTAAGAAATAATAAGTACAGTATATTATGTGCAGACAAAGTTTACATTTAATCTTTCTGGTTGGTAAAACTTGAAATGTTAATTTCATTATCACTGAGCTTGAAGTGATATTTCTGTAATTTATCTTCTATCTACATACTTTTCTTTTTATTTAACATGCACATTTACCAAAAAAAAGGAAAAAGGTTTAAAACTGCCCTCAAGAGCAAAGAGGGTAAAATATAAAAAAAATAAAATAGGAAGTGATCTTCAGAACAGACAATTTACTCATGCTTGTTGAAACAATTTATTTTTCAAGGTTTACAATTTCCAGATTAACCATCCCCAATTCTGTATTGATGTGGTCTATCTAACTACAGTCAGTTTGAGAGTTAATTGGCTAAAGGAAATACAACTGAACCTGGTAATAGTCTTCTGTATTTTTGACATATGTCACAATTTTGAATTTAATATTACATAAAATCTCCCAAGGCCACTTAATGTGAAATTTAATTCTACTGGCTTTCCAAACATGACAACTTCATTATGTTTTAAATTGCAAACCATTCCTTCTTTATTTTAGAGATAACTTGCTGTATTTAGTATTTTCTATTTTTGCTGATAGAGTCAATTTTTTAATGATATCACTATTTCACCAACACCAAATTGAAATGGTTACTTTTTGTAAAGTGATTGCATATAATAATCCAAACACTTTTTACCATATATCATTATATACAGTGTCACTAACAGCAGAATTCACGGATTTCAAATCAAATATTTTGTGAACATTATACTAATTATGTATTGTGAAACCTTATGACCTCACTTATCTTGGAATGAACTCTGAACAAACTGAATTTCTGAGAAACTGACTGAAACAGAAACTTTATTTAGTAAAAAATTCACTTTGTACCAAAGAGTTTGACATTAATCTCATCAGATCATATTTTGTCCAAGGATAAAGCAGACTTATGATAGGCAAACAACAGATGGGCTTTCATATGCCTGGGCTTCAGCAGTGGTCTTTCTAAGAGTTCAAGAATACAGTCCTACTTTGTAGAGTGTCCTTACTCACTTCTGTGCTAACTGCCCCTGCAGATCCTTCTGTAATATTTTGGAGTTGTGAGCAACTTGTACATTATTTTCATACAAATGGAGCTAGCTGCTTGTTCACATATTTTGTAAGGATGTCCTTTTTCAGGCAGATTGGTTGTCAAGCCATATTTCTTCCATTTTTTGAATAATGGCTGTAATCATACTGATTGGGGATCTTGAGTTCATTGGAGATCTTATGGCACAATTTTGATAATCAATTATCACTTCACATCATTTTTGAGAAAGCTCAATTAAGCTTCCTAAAGTCTTTGTCATTGTGGTGAAAAACCTTCATATGTATTAGACTGTTCACAGTAAAATAATGTTGTAAGTTGTCAGTCACAGTGTCTAATGTAATCTGATTACTCTATGGTAATTTGTAAATTAACCTGAATAGAAGTGTAAATAATGTGTGTGTGTATATATATATATATATATATATATATATATATATATATATATCCATGATGTCTTTTGTCACCTGGGTAATAATAAATGTTTTCTGTACTGATTACATTGGTACCCTTTTGTTTGACTTTGTTTTATTGACCAACTTATCTACCTTATTTTTTATAAACTATATGAAGCACATGTGAACTATATATATATATATATATATATATATATATATATATCCTAGAAGGATCAATTAAGCTATTTAGAAAAATATTCTTTGCAATATTCCATTTTGCCAAAAGACGAAGTTAACTTACCTCAATCACAGCATTTTCTATTAAACAATTAATTGGTGACTTTGTGGCATTTTTTATTTTTAATTCCTGGCAGTTTTGCTGGATTATTTGGCCAAACTCCAAACGCACCAATTGTTCAATATTTCTAAAAATAAAAATGTGTGACAGCCAAAAACTTATTAGATTTTCTCAAAGTGAAACTAAGATTACTTTTCACTAGTAAAATTATCACCTACTATTTTTATTGAATGTAATTGCTTACAATAATGTTATATAGATGTAACATAAAATAACAAAATATTTCCTGAATTAGCCAGGAAAAGTGTGAACCACTATGAAATTAAAGAATAACTTTAGTAATATTCAGTAAGCAATATAATCCTTTCATAGAAATCTTTTACTGGAAAAGAAAGAGATATTTTAATACTTCATATGTAGAAAATACAAAAACAGAATTTGCCTTTCTGCTTTAAAAAAAAAAAAAAAAAAATCACTCTTAACCATTGAGCATCTGCTGAAAAAATAAAACCTGCATTACAATGATTTCAGAATAATAATGTATAAATTCATGTAAGCTATTTTTTTTTCTTATTTATTCAAAACTGCTTTCTCACTGTATATCCATTGCCTTCCTAAATTTCATATCTGACAGCAAAACTGCAAAGGTGCCAAGTTTTTTTTATTTTTTTTATTTACATTCAAACTAATATACTCATCTTTACGATAAAGGATATTAGTCCAAATACAGTTTAGACAGAAATTGCCAAATTTTCTGTTTCCTAATTTGCTCTCACACACATTTTTCTTACATTCTTTCTTTTCTTCTCAGCTTCTTTTTCATACATTGTGGTGGACTTCTAGATTCTAGGCATAACTGCATTTTTAATATATAAGACCTGAAATTTTTGTAAGGTATTTTAACTGTTTTCACTGTTTACTTACAGCCATTATTAGAAAAATTACATAATGTTCTATTGAATATAAAGAATGTCTAATAAGCCTTTTATTAAGTTTCTCCTAGTGAATGTCTTAACTCAGGTGGAAACAAAGGTAATTAGAAATTGGATCGATTTTGATTGTCACTGATTTCAAGGAAATAAAGATTAAAAATATGGTGTCTGTGTTATTATCCCTGTGAAATGCAGGACATGGTTTTACATTTGATGACTTTAAAGATAGTAAAACTTGAAGTGGTTTCTACTTTATGTAACAAAACAGAATTCAATGAAAGATTACTGCCTATGTATACTTTGTTCAAATTATATGTCAACTACAAATTTTAAAATTATACTGGCCAGTGTAATATTATTTTTGATGTCATTTTCTTACATTGATAATTGGGGAGTTCAGGTTTAGTTGATGTTTAAAGATGGATGAGTGAGTAGTACTTGAATGGAAACTAGGCTTCAAAAGTAAAATGCTCTAGACTGATTCAATGGCAGTTCACACAAAGTTTTTTTTAACAGTAGTGAAGGTGAAAAACAGGTCTTTTGCTAAATTATGAACTAAAAAATATCAATCAACAGTGAGAGGCATCTTGAGTCAGGATGTAGTTGTTTGATAGCAAAAACAAAGTGTTAACATGTCCTTCATAGAAGAACAAATAAAACAAAAAGAACTTTAGGTGCTTGTTAATTGGATTCTAAAAGTGCAAACACAAAAGTTATTTAACTAATCCCACCTACTGTTCAAGAATAAAGCAAAAAGTCTGTCTAGTGTAACAATATTATTCTATATATTTTCATAAATTCAGTGTTACCCTTTCTTCAGAAGATGTTTTTGACTTTGGAAGAGTACTTTTTTCCACAAATGTCTCCTCAAGGAAGTAGGAAGTCTGTACCCTGACAATGCAGATGTAACAGTTGTTGTTTTGTGTGGATGTTTCAGCAAAATGGAGCTAACAATCTCTCCGATGGCTTCACTTTGATGGCTACATAGTTCCTGATTGATGCTCTCATTACATTGTACTGTAATGGAAAACAGAACAGGCTAAGATTTTGTAAAAAATATTAGCCATAAGAATAAAGCCAAAAAGATAATATCATGCAATGGTAAACAAAAGAAATGAGCCATCAAGAAATGAGATATCAATTTGTTTAATTTTTATTAGGATTTAAGTGTTTTACAATGTATTCTCAGAAATAGTATCTAAGTATTGATTACAAATTTAATGTCCCTAAGTATATAAATTTAATTCTTCATTTCCTCTAATGGATAATAATTTTTGCAGGCCCTATTTTGAGCATCAACATGCTTTCAGATCTGTATCTCTCCTCATACTGTGTTGGTGTGATTGCAGCAACTTGCAAAGCTCTCTGGAATAAATACAGATACAACTTCTGAAAATTCATTGGTAAATGCTTAAAGATTCTTAGTAAAAATTTTAAAAATGGATTCTTTAGATAGATTTCTTATTTCTTTGACTTGCCACTGTATGCTGGAAGACTTCAAAGTGTCTGCTATAAGTGGAAAATTTAAGATTATTAATACTCAATTTCTGAAAATTTCTCTTAACAGAACTTACAAAATTCCCCATGGAAACCTTAAAATGAATTTTATCTTCTATCTGTGATTTCATGGAGCTATAGTCTATATAAAATAATTCTAAAGGTACAAAATATGGAAGATGCCCCCAAATAAAACTAAATGCTTTTTTGGATATCCTGAATCTATAAGTAGAACAAATATCATACAATATATAAATAGAAGTATGCTAAGAGCATGAGTTTAACTTGTAGAGTACTTTATAAATGTATGATACTATGATTAGTGTGAATTTTATAAAGAAAATCAACATTTGTTTTATCAGTAAATTAGAACTAATTAGAGTTAAAAGTCAAAAGACATTTTTATTACAATTTATTTTTTTATTTACAGCTAAGATTGAATGAAAAGAAAAAAAAAACTTTTGCAAAAACCAAAACTGAAACATGGGTTGTTTTGATAAAACCCAAGAGCTTGGCAAGGCAGAAGAAAAAGTATAGAAAATGGACATGAAGAGGAATATAACATTTGATTATATTGGTCCCTCTTTATTTTCTTCAGAGAAACACATGGCCCTTTTGCTAAAGGTACTTTTGAATCTGGTGGATTCGCAGATGAAGGAAAGTAATATTGATAAGTGAGTGATTATAAACTCATATTTAATTTCCTCCAGTGAATAAAACAAAAACAAACATAAAACCTACATCCTAAAGTCTCCTCTACTGAGAAAGTTAAAGTACTAAATTTTTTTCAGAGGATTGAATTACATTTTTAGTCAGTATTCCAAAACATCTAAAATTATTTGGTTTATTACATCGGAGACATAGATACCTTTCTTCCAAATGGTTGATTAGTGAATTTAAAATTTCACATATGCAGAAAAAGGCTGTTTCAGGAAAAATGCTAATTGATAGAAAATCTTTTTAACTGAGGTTTCCTGATTGGCCAAGGAAAATTTTTCATGTGATGTACGAAATGCAATTCCAGCTTGTTGGTTAACAATAAGAATTGAGCCGATGCAATCATGATGCAGCAATATGAAGACTAATCGAGGAATGAACAGCCAATTCTGGGATAGTAGTAGAAGTAATTAATTAAAAAATCATTAATCAGAAACTCCAAGCGCCTAGTTAATTTTTGAAGAATTCTCAGTATAAGTATTTCAATTTTGACTCTCAGCTGAAACTAAGATCAGCAGATCCTGTTGATATATGCTGTTTGGTGGCCCCTGGAACATTCTTCCTTAAGAGACAATATGATTGGTTGAAGAATTGCTGAGAACCAAAGAATTCTAAATTAAGAATTTGCAACAAAGTTTAAAACTAAGAATAATCGACAATTACTTTTAATTGAAGGCTCTATATGTTCCCTGTCTTCACCAGCTCTTGCTTTATTTTTGCCACTACAAGTTTTTGTTAAGCCCCTTAGAAAGTTAGCCAACCAATTGTAGCTTAGGGAATCACAAAACCTCAATTGGATAAAGGTTGGTTAACATTCTGTCAGAATATTCTTCACAAGAACACAGATCTTGTAGCAGCAAAAGTAAATCAAGAGTTGTATGTTGGATTTAGTTACACAAAAGTCTTGTTTTGATATAAAAGATAAAAAACGAAAATGTTCTTATAGGAATGAGAAGAGACCAGGTTTTGAATTTCCACAACTTGCACAATTAGCAAATTTGTGATTTCAGCACTTTTTTGACAGAAATGGAAATAAGTAAAATTAATTACAAACCTTGTTTAACACATGCAATATGTTCAGATGATTTCCTGTTTCCCTTCCACTCATATTTTGAGTGAAATTTTGAGACAGCATTAGCCATGACTAACAAAGAATTAGCATGACTGTTGACATTACTATTCTGTATCAAAATAAAAAGATTCCATTAGTATTTGCTCAAGACTTTTGAGAGTTTTTGTGACATTTAATACCAGCCCACTTCCACTTGGTTCAAATTAGCTAATCTAAGCTTATCTTTTTTGTGAAATATTTAATTAAATGCAATCTGAAATGTGTATACAATAGAATCCACAAATATTACTGATAACATCAGAAAAAGGTTGAAATGGGATGCTTGCTGGGAATTTCTGACATGTAGCATTTGGTAATCACGCACGTCTTCACAATGTCCTTGTTAATGCTTGTCCAGAAAAAGGACAGTAGACTGGTTTTCTCCACTCCTTGGTGTGCGGCATGGAGCTGTTGTAGGATATCCAGGTGGAGTGAAGGAGGTATTATGATTTTGTTGTTTTTGAGCAAAACTCCATCTTGAATGCCAATTTTGTCTCTAAAGGTCCAGGTTTTTCAAGATAAGATCAGTCATGGTCTCTTCTTTGATCCTTTGCAGGTGTGAGTGTAATGCAGTAAGGTGTGCATTGAGTGCATGGATATTGAGTTCAATCACTTTAATCTTTTTGCCTGGTTGTGATGATACTCTGGATAAGCAGTTGGCTATCTGTATCACTTTTTCTGGGCTGTACTTGATGGTATTATCATACCCTTGAATTTTAAGGAGCATTCTGGTGAGTCTAGGTAGCACTTGTGCAAGATTCTTCAGTGCATTTGCTTCTAATGGCTTGTGATCAGTCTGGATGTGGTACTACACATATTGGTGAAATTTTTCTAGGCCAAAGACAATTGTGAGCATCTTCCTTTCTATGTTTTAATACCGAGTATTTGGGCTGTAAGTGTTTTGCTTGCAAATGCAACTGGAAAAACATTTTGCAAAAGGGCTGAACCAAGTCCAGCTGTAAATGCATCAACTTGTATGATGACTGGTGTTTTGGAGTTGAAATACCTCAGCACAATGGTCTTGTGGATCACCTCTTTGATGTCAAATGCCAATTGCTGCTGGGTTGACTAGATGAATTTGTTACCTTTTGATATCAGATTGTGAAGTGTCTTTGTCAGAGTTGAGTATCTGTCGAGGTAGTTGACCAATCCCATAAATCTGGCCAACTGCTTTTTATCTGTGGATAGTTGTATGTGTATAATGGCTTCTACTTTGGGTTTGATTTTATATCATCCTTTGATATAATATGACCAAAGAAAAAAATTTCAGATGCTCTTACAAGCTTTTCAGGGTTGAACTTTTAGTTTATTTCTTTAACTTGCTGGAGTAGTTTGTTGAGAGCAATGTCATGGTCATTCCAATCTTCAAAGCAGTAGATGATTGTATCAGAGATGGAGAGTACATTTTTTAGGTTTCCAAAGTTCTCAAGTATGGCACACTGGAATTCATCTTGGGCACTTTTCACACCTGCCTAATGGGGTAATGAAAGTCACCAATTGCTTGGATTTCTTGTCCAATTTCATCTGCCAATAGCCTGAATTGCCATCTACAATTTTGTCCCATGAAGCCTTGTTATGATGTCCTCAAAAGATGGAGTCATGAAGAGGGGGCATAAAATGAATTGTTCAAGTCTCTAGCTTTTGTGGCACAGAGTTGACCCATGCAGTGGGTTTGGACACAGGAGTTACTCTACCTTGATCTATGAGAGAATCCAGCTCAGTTTTGAATTTGTCTCCACAGAGACTCACCAAGGTGGATGCACAACTGGAATTACCATGGGGTTTACACTTATTTTGTAGTCTCTTGGTAGGCAGCTGATACCATCAAATACATCAGGAAATTGGTGAAAGAAGCATTCCTTTGCTTTGAGGTCTCCTCTCAGTCTTGCTCTGATGCCATCAAATACGCCAGGAAATTAGTGAAGGAGGCGTTCCCTTGCTTTGAGGTCTCCTCGTGGTCTTGCTTTTGTTGCAGTTTTACTTCTGTCCCATTCTCAGCCAGTTTTAGATTTAAACAAGTTTTTTCCTGTCTGGTGGGACTGTTGCTTTTCATTGGGTGGTGTTCTTGATTTTATAGTAAAGTTGAATGTTACCCCTGCTTCCAGGAGGTTGGAGGCCAAGTAAGATTGGTCCTTTGGATTTGACAACATGCAATAATGTGTTTGTGAATAGGGTTCCATATCTTATTCCCCAGCAGCATACACCTGCTTGTTTTATTGGAAACCCCCCAAATACAATCATCTGTGTAGGAATGTCCTTGAGTGATACACCTTTTAACTGCTTAAATACATTCAAGGAGGTTAGGTTGCTTATAGCACTGGTGTTGACCTCAGCATTCACTTCAATCTGTGACAGTCTCGTACCAATTTGTATTTTAGCATAAGCCTCTGTTGCCTCTAAGGGAACATGTGTCCCTTTTTTATGTACTGCAGATGTGGTGTGAAAACATGAATCTTTCCTCAAGGACTTCTCTTCACTATCATCTTGTGTGGTTACATGGACGTTTCTGCCTTTTTTATTTTGTTTTCACTGTAACTTGGATGCCTGTGTCATTTTTTACTAGATTCTTTCAAGTGCCACACACCAGCAAAATGTCCACCTGTTTTACATTTTGAGTAAGTTCTGCCTTTTGCAGGACATTTGTCCCAATAGTGAGTTTTGCCGCAAAACTTGCAGTTATTGAAGAAGTCTTTGTCAACCTTTGAGACATGCATGGGAACTGATCTCCTTGTCCTGTGAAATGTGGATTGATCCTTACCTGTTTAATTGCCGTTTCCTCTGTCTCTGAAATGCATCTAGCATTTGTTATCAATGAGGTCGTTCCCCTCTTTGAGAAGGGATTTTTGGGTCAATTTTAGACAAATCCCTAAAATGAAGAGATCAGCTAAGATTGCCTTTTCAACTAGAGGGTCATGCTCATGTTGCTTCATTATTTGCTATAAACTTTTTAGAAAGGTACAGAGAGGTACATTAGAGCTCTGGCTGCATTGTAATAACTGATGCCTTAACACACGAAAATTTGATTGTGGTTGCGAGTATTTCCAGAATCAGGTAGTCATTAACGTCCTTTGCTTCTTTGCTAAAGTCAAATGTTTCACCTATTTCCTGTACATCATCAGCAGCATAAAGTAATAGATAATTTACTTTTACATCATTACTGATGCAATTTAGTGGTCCATTGAAATGAATTTGGACCTGATGTAAGAATTTATTCATTACTTTCTCTAAGTTGGGGTTGTGCCAGTTTATTGTTGACGGAGGCAATTGGAATGACATGGCGATTAAAATTTAGAAACTGACAACAGTAAAAAAAAAAAAAAAAAAAAAAAATCTTGCCTTGGTTGATGAAAGAATTAAAGCAGAGATTCATGATTTTTTTTTTTTTTTTGGTTAGTTAGGAGTTTGCTGACACAATATCACTATTAACCATGACTTGCAACAAACAAATTAGAGTCCGAGCACATGATTTTTTTTTTTTTGGTTAGTTAGGAGTTTGCTGACACAATATCACTATTAACCGTGACTTGCAACAAACAAATTAGAGTCCGAGCACATGATTTTTTTTTTTTTTTTTTTTTTTGGTTAGTTAGGAGTTTGCTGACACAATATCACTATTAACCGTGACTTAAACAAACAAATTAGAGTCCGAGCACATGATTTTTTTTTTGGTTAGTTAGGAGTTTGCTGACACAATATCGCTATTAACCGTGACTTGCAACAAACAAATTAGAGTCCGAGCACATGATTTTTTTTTTTTTGGTTAGTTAGGAGTTTGCTGACACAATATCACTATTAACCGTGACTTGCAACAAACAAATTAGAGTCCGAGCACATGATTTTTTTTTTTGGTTAGTTAGGAGTTTGCTGACACAATATCACTATTAACCGTGACTTGCAACAAACAAATTAGAGTCCGAGCACATGATTTTTTTTTTTTGGTTAATTAGGAGTTTGCTGACACAATATCACTATTAACCGTGACTTGCAACAAACAAATTAGAGTCCGAGCACATGATTTTTTTTTTTTTTCTTTTACATGAAGAGGGTTAATAAACTTAACAAAATATCACTGTGAGTTGCAATGTATTTCTTTGTTGTTTATATTCTCCTTGTTTTAATCCCTTTTTTTGATACCATGTTTTGTTATCTGTATCACTGCAGTGGATTAAGGACAAGACAGTTAAATGGTCAAAACAAATTCTTCATTTATCTCCAGTTGCCTCAACAGGAAGTGAGTAGGGAAAAAGAGGCAGAGAGCAATTAGTAAGTGGATAGGGAAGTGGAAGTGGTTATTAGGAGACAAGGAAGTGTCCATGTGTAATAATAGAGAAGAGTGGTGGTGTTAGATTATTTTGAGAATTCTTTTGAATATAACAATTGAATTGACTAAAAAAAAAAAAAAAAAATCTATCTACTTAATAATAAAGCTGTCATCCTGAAAATGAACTTAATATGCATGAAGTGAGCTGAAAAATGCTTTTGATAGTACAGGTATTTTAACAAAAAAACAACAATTATTTTAGTTTTGCATTTGTGTTAAATATCCAAGAAATAATCTACTGATATAGAATTTGTACAATAAATACAAATTTGCCATTTTCAGCCTTGGATTACTGATAGTGTGTAAAACCGCAAACTTGATGCTTCGGTTTAATGCCTTAATCATACATGAAATTGATTGTAATTGATTTTTTCTCTTTCTACACCTCAAACTACATAAGAATCAGTAATAAAACAGTCCTGGATTATTGGTAGTGCATATAACCGCAAACTTGATTTAATGCATTAATCATGCATGAAATTGATTTTTTCTCTTTCTACACCTCAAACTACATAAGAATCAGTAATAAAATGGGTATGTAAAAATTAAATCCAAATTTGCCACTTCGAGACTTGGATTACTGGTAGTGCATAAAACTGAAAAATTGATGCTTTGATTGATGTTTTCTGATTCTACATATCAAACTACATGAGAATCAGTAATAAAATGTGTATGTAAAAATTAAATTCAAATCCACCATTTTGAGCCTTGGATTACTGGTAGTGCATAAAACCGAAAAATTGATGCTTCAATTTAACGCATTAATCATACATGAAATAAATTTCAAGTTCAGGAAATATGAACAGAGTTATATTTTTACGCCCATATGGATGTATTAAATACAGGAAGACACACATAAATTTAAGCAAGCCTAAATCTTCATAGACATATTTACTTCCCTCTTTTCTTATATCTAGATAAATTATATATTCATAAGCATACACAAACGTCAGAAATAAAGAAAAATACATGTAAGAAATCTTAATCTGCCATATACAATGAAAAAGAATCTGCTGTATAAATATTAACAATAATATATATAATTTAAATCTTTGCACAATAGATTTACAGCTTTAGTCACTTTTTCTGGATGTGTTATGATAATCTTTAAAAGATTTATAGATACATATTGGATTCTCATAAAGGAAACGTTACTAGCAGAAACTTAATTACAGAAGGAAAATTATTCTCTTTGCATCACACCATAACATATTAGCAAAAGAGAAAAATTTGATTCCAAAGAAAAAATGAATAGGAAGTAAAAATTGGAACTTTTCTATTTTACGGAAATGATTATTCAAGGTCATTTGTGCCCTACAAGATGCAAAAATATACACACACACATGCCTCATGCCTGTATATTAATATACATAAAGATAATGTTTAATTGTATGTGTACAAAGTATAAAGACACTCACAAAGGCATATTTTTTTAAGTACCCATTTAACCATGCATGGAGTGGGTCATCTACAACTTTTATGGATCAAAGTAACTTTTGACTCTTTAACATGCCCTCCTTGTTTTTGTTCTGCCATCTATTAACACAAACTTGTTAAGGTATACATGGTTTCCCCGTTTCCCTTGCCTTCAATATGTCATGTGAGCATTAAACTCTCTAGGTTCACTTTCCTCATATGTCCTAAAAATTTTAACTATTTCTTTTTGATTCTGTTCATTTAGTTTCTATTTTCCTTTAAACATTTTCATTGCTCACATGCTCTGTTAATGGTATTCTTAGCATTCATCTGGAGAACATTTCTGTCACTTCATATCTCGTCTTCATCTATAAAGAGATTGCCCAACATTCATATAGGATATTAGTTATCACACTCATTTGTTTCTAACAATATTTTCTGGTCTTAAAACTTTGTTTATTTTCTAAAACATCTTTTGCTATTCTTATGCACCTTTGAATTTGTCATATTTTCTTTTGTATGTTACTACACTACTCAGTAAATTCTCTGTACCTACATGATTCTGACATCCCAAATACATAGCTTAGAGACAAAGAAAAGAGAACATTATATATTAAATATATCAAAGTTAAACTAATATCACCACTTCATGTCCACTTTTGCAATGTTCTAAATGAAGCAGCTTTTATGAAATAATCTCTGGTTATTTCAGTCTATTCCCAATTTTACTAATAAATTTATATTTTCATTAGGAATTCATCAAAGGATTTTTGTGGGAGAAAAGAGATGACGTATTTAAAAAAAAAACAAAAAAATAATGTATATGACAAACTCAAGGTCAGTTGTTGAAAATAGCAAAACAAGATTGTCTGCTTTGTGCTCATTAAACATGTTTTATACAAGCTTCATAAAATTTTCAATTTCAAATTCATTTGGGGTAATTTTCATCATTAAAGTGACTGAACAAACGAAAATTTAACATCCCAAATTAGAAAAGATAACTAAAACACTAAGTCTTGAATATACCTACCTTAATTTTTTTTCTTTCTTGTTTATCTTTCAATAGAAACAAATCAAGATTATTTTGAGCCATTGTAGCAATGTATCTTCTAAGAATCTGAATTTCATCAGAAGTTTTCTCACTTGTCATTATGAAAAAAAAAAAAAAAATTAATACAATTTTTTGTTGTGCTTCATGCTGTAAATACGACTTGTTTAACATTTTTTATAGTAGGCATAATTTGATCTGGAAGAAAAACAAAAGGAGTGATTTTAATAAAATTACCAAAACAATAGCTTAAAACCTTATTCATGCTTGAGGAAATCTATCACTTAATCTTTAAATCATCCAGATAATATTTCTTCCACTGAACCAGAGTATATGATTTTTTTCTTTCTCAAACTGATTCAGGAATTGAACTCACAACCACCAGGTAACTGAAACAGATTAACCAACACTTTTATCCAAAAGGCCACATGACCTGTAAAACAATTGTGGTAAAAAATTGTCTGTCTTTTAAACTGAACTCTATGATTTTTAGGCTTTTCTATCTCATCCTTCTTGCAATATTTACTTAATTTAACAAAGACAGTGTAGAGTCTATACAAAAGAAAATCATTTTTAGAAGATTGTGCAGCCTCAATCAAAATTTATGAAGAAAATGAGTTTTAGTACAATTTGGTATTCAGAGCCTAATCTTTATCAGAATCTCAAATACTCAAAGTTATATAAAACTTGCTATCAATATTGTAGCAAGGGATATAGTGATCTACCATGTTAGCAAAAAGGAAATGGCTATGTGTTACCTGTATATTTTGCTGGGTAAGCAAGAATGGAGGCAAAGCTGATTTGCATGTGATAATCTACCATTTATATAAATCACTTCTCATAAAACCCCAGACACTGAAGGAGCAAAGCACTTTATTTTTCTGTTCAATACTGTGAAATTACACCAGTCAGCAATGCAACAGGGAAATGATAGCAAGTCTGGCAGTAAAGCAAAATGCCTAATGGTGATAGTTAAAAGCTGAGAGAACAGCCATTAGCACTTTTGTTTGTTCGTTTCAACAACAAGCTATTTTAGTGAAAAAAAAAAAAATGGACAGAAAAATCTGAAGTTCATCACAGAGTTTGGCAGCTCATCCAGAGTTGAATATGTAGAAAAAGTGGCACTAGTATGCAGTGCAAAATGAATTGTGTAGATTCTGCTACTATGTCTAACAAAGAAAACTAAAAGTGGACAAGAGGTCAGACACTAATCAGATAAAGAATTCAATATATACTAATGTTCACGGTTATTATGTAACATTACCTACAACTGAGATGTAGCAGATCTGTGGAAATTGACAGTGCTATTTGGAGGGATGTCTGTTTTGACATGTGTTCTTGTAGCAGAACTTCTTGGCCATATGAAGCAGTTACTTTACTCCTCTTCTATAGAAGAACAGAGAACAGCTAATTGATCCCATACCCTGAACAAAAACTTGGACCCCACAAGTCCTTCCTTCAGCTGATAAATTGCCATTATACTGCAGAATAAAGCAAGAATGCACCCAATGATAGTATACACGAAGCTCAACAGATATGCCAACATGTTTACAGCATAAAGAAGAGATATTCCTATACATGAATAAGGGAATGAAAACAATCTACTCTGTAAGTTAAATAAAGGATTTAGTCTGAAATTTCCTCAGACTGACATACATCTAAAGAAGTAGAGGGTACAACAGCCAAAATGTTGTGGTAATAACAACAAAGGTGATGATATTAGATGTAATATACATAATGAAAGAATGATGTCAGTAAGGATCTAACTTATCCTTGCTAGATCTACTTTCAGGTGAAAGTTGATGAATCATTATGGACATGTAAAATGAGATCTTGCTTAAAAAAAAGTAACAATGAGTGTAATAAAGCAAAAATCTAATTCAATTACAAAAGGCTGGGTTGACCAACATTCCCACATACGATGGAGACTTCAGCCAGAGTGAAAAAGGCGACTGCTGAGGCAACTACTGTGAAGTGAACATATGGATCAGTTAGTTTCCTACGGTGGAGGTTCTGTTGGAGAAGAGTGAGGCTAAGTTGGAACAAAGAGTGTTGGTTGCAACCTATGAATGATTTCTGGTTCTTGCATTGAAGATCAACCTAACCCTCTGTGGCAGGTCAAATTGTTACATCTGTAGACTGAACTCTTGTGTATACACCATTGGATCTCAGAGATTGACTAGCAAAGCAAGGCTACAACTGAAGGAGGCCACTCATGAGTTGCATTAACTGTGATCAAGAGATCAAAAGGGGAATGTAGCAGAGGATTGAGTAGTGATATTTAAAATATTCTAAATTTTTAAACATATTTATATAACCCAATGGCTTTAATAACATGCTCAATTTACTTAAGAGCCTTTGCATAGTCAGAATTATTAGCTTAAATTATTCACAGGAATTTGCTACAACTTTAATAAGATCTCACCTGGAAGTATTGCATGAAAACACAGAATGAAATCCAATTTCATTTGCAACTACCAGCAGTTGCTGTCTCAACCATGTATGCATATCTTGTAGTATTTGTGTTGATGGTTCCTTAAAGAAAAAAAAAGATTGTCATCAGTTAAAAATATTCTTCCTGTTTATACAAATACCCAGACTTAATTAAATGTGTACTCTTTACAATTTTAATACATTCAAGTTAAAATTGATCTATTAGAATTTTTGAGTGAATATTCAAATTTTTTTTATTTGTGAATTTTTAAACCTAATTGCCTGTCCTGATTCTGATACAAACATTGAGAATTTGCAAAAGATTGTGTAAAATTCTAAAACATTTCACTAAGCTGGCAAAATTGTATTTACTAATCGAATTCAATTTGTAATTGATTATTTTTTTAAAATAATTACTCAGACAATTAGAGAATGTTTTAAAACAATGTTTAATGAAAAATGAAAGTTAAAAAAAAAATGAGAAAAAGAAGAGAGAAAAAATTTTTAGGAACAAAAAGATTTACTTCTTCCAATTATGTCAGCAGTTCAAGAGACCCCCTCCCCAATAAAAAAAATCCTGATTCATTTTAAACTCTTGATCCTTTGGCTTCAGGAATTGCTGAGATTAGTACCTATAAAATTTGTTGTATAGTGTGCCACAAACTTTAATCTCAGGTAAAAATTTTCAATTGTTCTTATAGCTTAAAGGATCATATTTGCATTTGGCCAGATACATATAGTTGCCTATTAATTCAGAAATATTGATCAATTAATTAGTAAAATTGCATGAAATTTTAACTCCGTTAATCTTAATATTTTTGTAAAAAAAAAAAAAAAAAAATTTTGATAATACTTTGTTGCACCCTTACTGCTAACAGTTTAAATGTGTTAGAAATTTCTGTCATTTATATTTGAGCATAAAACTGTATTGATGTAAATTCCATTCATAATTAATGGATTAATTACTTGGAAGATCTAATTTGATTTGACATACTTTGACCCCCCCCCCAAGAAATGGGGGAATTCCTTAAGCACTTAATTCCAAGATGATGACATTTTTGAGTTGTATTAAATTGACTCCCACCTTTAAAAACATTCCTTGCCAACCATCCTAAAGATTTTGATGTTCACTTTCAAATTGTTGGCTGACCAGACCAAAATGCTTATAACTTGCCTTTGAAGAAATTGTTGTATCATGCTAGCAGCATGAATCAGAGCATTAAACTAAATATTGTTGATCCAAATACTTCCAATTACTAAATTTATTTTCTTAGTATAGCTGCATATACTGTTGTGTTCTGCTGCCTATCAACAAATAGGAATGTCATCAACATTGTCTAAATTAAATTTTGTATCTGTAAAATTGGCATTACACATCTGATATAAGTCTTGCAAATTCCGATCTGTGGATCATTTTTCAGAGCTGGATGCTACTATTTTTTCTGTGCATGCATCTAGTTACCTTATTGTCTCTTTAGGAACTTGAACTAGTTGCTACCTTCAGACAAGCTATGGATTAATTGGGGTTTTGTAGTTCACTGATAACTGTAGCATGATCAGACATCTTCATGGGTCTATCAACTAGTCTTGAGTCTATAACTTTCTATATCTTGCAAAATATTTTTCACAAGCTGATCAATTAATTTGCTCATTATGATGGCAGCTGATTCAACAATCAGAGTGTTGGTCTCTTATATTATGTAGACATGACATTTTTAACAGGAACCAATAACTTGATCTTTGAACCCTATCACATGAATAGTTTAAGAACAACAAAATCTTTCAGTAATTTAAATTCCATTAAATCTACTCACTGGTCACTATTCAATTCTTTGTAGTGTTTATAAAATGACTAAAAAAAAAAAAATTATCAAATCACAAATGTTAATAAATTTATTCCAGACAAATAAGGAATATATTTAAAATTTTTACTTGGGTTGAGTATTTATTTGTCTATTTTGTAAGATTATTTAGTCTTTCTATTAGTTGATTATGTAACTGTTAGCATAGTTATGGATCTGAATTTTATCAAAGCTATAGATTTTAGTTAGTTCAATTGAGTAATGAGGTTATTTCTCAAATTATCAAATTCTGTTGGCTAATATTAAAATTCTTACAATTCAAGAATATTGTCATTGTGTCCGCTCCACAAGATAAAAAAATTCAAACTGTTTTTGTAGCCACCAGAAATTATATATCTCTTCAGATACCAAGTTAAAGCTATTGCCAACTATTTCATTAAAAGTTCCTCAAATAAATAAAACTAAGATAAATGTCTATAGAAATATCATTGTATTTTGCTACAAGTTATGCCATTTCAACTTGTGTTATTTTACCTTACACAAATGAATTTACCAGACCAAGATTTAGAAAACCAATACACAAAATTTAATATATAGTTTTCTTTTTAGATTCTCTTTACAGAAAGAAAAATCTGTGCTTACAGAGGTACAAGGTTCAACTTGAATGTTAGGAAAGTATTTCACCATAAATGGACCTCCAAGAAGTTGAAAAAGTGCTAGTTTCACCTCCCTTGACGTGTGTTGGGTTTCTTCCAAAGCAGTGTATGTTTTGGCAAAAATGTCCTGGACCTACAAACAAGTAAAATTTATGAAAGCATCAATTCTAGACTCATCTCCTGATGAGTGGCCATAGGTTAGTGAACTCCAGAGATCAAATAAAAAAAATATAAATTCTGTTCCAGGAAGTTCAATGAATCTCAGTAGCTTTTAAAGTAGTTCAACCAACAAATCTAGGTAAGTAGAAATAATGCATAAAAAGTATGTTGATCAGCTATTTTTGTATCATCTTTCCATAGAAGATTATGAAGTGCAAAAAGTTGTACAATAAGTGGATTACTGAAACTTACATCTTTAAAAAAAAAAAAAAAAAAAAAAAAGATCACTCTTATACTAAAAAATAAAAAAAACTGTTACAATAAAAGGATACACATATGATTGACAAGCAAAGTGTATTTAAATATCTTTAATAGACTGATGAGAACAGATCTTTAATGTTGAGAGCCTCTGAACAGAAAATTTAGACATTATGATTATGTTGGTGTTTATCAAGATTCAAATAAATTAACTAGTAACATGTGCACTATTTACATTATTCGGACTTTTGTCCAAAACTTTGTTGCCATATTTATTACATTTTGGCCATTGTACACTTCTTCAGGTGGTTGGAATGTCGAACTGAACCCTTTATTTTGTTCACTGGGGTAGACTGTTCTAGTTCCACGAGGGCTTAGCAATAGGCTCACCATTATCACCAGCAATGGCAAATATATACATGGAATACTTTGAGGAAATGGCATTAGAATCCATATCTCTAAAGCCAACTCTATGGTTAAGGTACGTAGATGACACCTTCATACTCTGGCCACACCAGGAAGATGTTCAGGTTCTGCTGGACCATGTGAACTCAATAAGACCTTCGATACAGTTCATGAGGGAGAAAGAGTAACAACACACTCCCATTCCTGGACGTTCTAATATCTCGAACAAAGCATGGGTTCAAGATATCCATATACCATAAACCAACATTCACTGGACAGTACCTCAATTTCAACTCCCACTATTCATACAGTGTAAAGAAAGGGATCGTCCGCTGCTTACAACACCAAGCAAAGTCATGAGTGGCAACATAGAGACATTAGATAAAGAATTGGTCAGTATAAGTAGTACCCTACAACGTAACAACTACCCTGGGTATATGGCAGCAGCCTCAAAAAACTAGGATAGGCGGGTACAAGAGGACAACAACACTCAGAAAACTGCCTGCCTTATGTGAAGGGGTTATCAGAGAAAATAAAAGGATCTGCGGTCCATATAACATCAGGACAACACTTTGCAGATATCTCTCCTGAGTAACCCCTAACCCCAGAGGAGAACATGACGAAAGACTGTGTGTATGCTATCCCGTGCAGCTGCAGAAAGAAATATAAAAAGGAGACAGGCCACCCACTTAAGGTAAGGCTTCAAGAACAGAAAACTGTAACACGAGGAGAATTGGCCACATATGGAAAAAAGGGAGATCACCACCCTCTGTGGGATCAGGCCGAGATCATAGACAAAGAACACCATTGGAAAATTTGTAAACTTAAGGAATCAGTACATATGTTAGGCCACAAAAATCTCCTGAGCCAAACAAGCATAGAAATGAATACAATATGGGAACCAGTAATAAGGAGTGCCAGAAAAAAGCAATAACAGCAGCAAAAATTGCAATATGAGCACTAGTAAAAAAAATGATGGCTGAAGACATTAGGTTTATAATACCAGAAATTCATAAACAGATGTCCTCAAGGACACATGGCAAAGTGGATAAAGGTGTTAGTTAGATCCAGTGACAGAACCCAAAGTTCAATACCTGGTGGAGAATTTGGAGAGGGATAACTGATAACTGACATCCATTAGACATGGCACATGGAACTAGAACAGTCTACCCCAGTGAGTGAAATAAAGGGTTCAGCTTGACATTCCAACCACCTGAAGAAAGCCGGAGCGTACAACGGCCAAAATGTAATAAATATGAGGACAATAGTCCGAATAATGTAAATAGTGTACATAATACCTCATCTCAGAAATATAGACAGATAGTAACATGGGGTATAAATATTTGCCTTTATTCATTCCCCCATAAGTAATCATTTATGTTTACATTCACGCACCCCACATAAATCAAAAAAAAAATTTCACTTATTATTTAACAATAGTGGTTTCTAAATTGTTTCAATAACCATTCCTGTTCTTAATTTGCATTGATGCACAAAATATTGGGTATATAGGTTCTTTTAACAAAATAATTTCTATTATCATTACACTAAAATTTGAGCTGAATGTATTAAATACTTTGAATATGCAATAGATAAGGAGAAATAAATAAATGTTGGTTTACACACATTATGGAAAAATACAACAAATAGTAATACTAAAAAAATTTTGTACACACTCTATAAATATAAATGAAGCAGGATAAAAACTGTTGGTTGAAATTGAAATTCATTGAAATGTTTAATTTAGAAATTTTTAGCAACTAATCAGAGCACCCCATATGTCATTCCTCATCAGCAACTTACAACATTCATATTTACTTTGAATAGCCATTGAACATCTGGCTGGCACAAGCAAAGGTTTTCACAATGGCAAAGACAAAGGATCACTCTCAAGAATTATGTGATAACTGACCATCACAGTCATGGAATGGAATATTAAAAGATTTCCAATGATCCCAAGATCCTTATCAGCATGATTAGAGTCATTATTCAAAAATAGAAGGAATATGGCCTTATTACTAAACTGCCTGAAAAAAAAAAAAAAAAAAAAAAAGAGAAAAACAAAGAGGGGTCTTCATAAAGTATGTGAACAGGTGTGACACTATGTGACACTAGTAAATGGAAAGAAAGGGTTAAAATTAAAATATAACTTGGAACAATACAAAAAGTGTTAAAGAATGGAACAATAGATAAACTAAGAGAAGTGAAATTGCTTTTATTTTTGGAAGTCTATTTTTTTAAGCAGAGACAGCTTGAAGAAAGTGATTTTGTTCTTTTGGGGAAAAGATATTACCAAAGATACCATCTGGAAAAGTTGGGCTGACAATTGAATGATGGCACTGCCTTAAAGTGGAAGTTATAAAAACATCTAAGGACCAGCTGGAAAAGAAAGTCAATTGAGAAGATAATATTTGGTAATTTTTAAAGACAAGGCAGAATTGAGAAACTAATTTATTCCATCTATCAAAAAGATAAAATTTTAAACAAATTTGAGAAACAGAATTTCTTTATGTAAAGACCCAACCCAAGATCTATAAGTGTGATTGGGTTAACACATTATGGAGATAGGTGTCAGAGGAAACAGCTGATAATTTTTGATTATATAAACAAGACAAGGCTGGGAAAAATTAATGATAATGAAAATTAAAACGATAATCACAATTAATAACCAGAAGCTAAGCCCAACCCTTTTGCCAAAGAGGTTTCAAAATAAGATTTATCAAAATGACAAGTTGAAAGGCTTAGATGAGATACCAAGAGAGATGGAGGAATTATCTGCCTATTGGGAAGTAATGGTGCAAAGCATAAATATTGGATATATGAGTGGGTCAGTACCTGGAAAAGTACATAGGAAAAGGATCTCCCAAATTTGGAGAAAGAATTAATTTTCCAGTGACAGACAACAAAGAACTCATTGAAAGACAGAGGAAACCCTGGGCCTCCAAACACTGTTAGCTCTCATGCTGGTCTTAAGTAAAAGCAGAACATTGAAGCAACCAAGACAGTTGGAGGAGCAGCTGATGATCACACTGTTGAAGCCCACATGACTTGCTGCCAGAAAGAACTCCCAACTTAAGCCTTGTTCCAGATGTAAGTAAAATAAGCAAAGTGTCACAAGAGAATTCAAAGTGGGAAGGGTTAATTTTTCTGTATAAAGAACTATATAAATGACATTGAAAATTGACCTGAAGAATTTGTGAAACAGCTTTGCCATGGTTCAAACCAACACTGTAATTGCCGATAACAACTCAGTCTTTGTCAGCTCTGAGATCAAAAAACACAACAGGGTGGAGCAGGTTGCAGACTGGGACAAGGTGCAGAATGACACTTTATTGGTATGTGTCCAAAACTTTTGCATTTAACTTGGTATTAGATTTGTTAATTTATGTTTTAGGCAAACATATTTCCCTTTATAAATGAGTATATACTATATTTAGGCTAATCACAATAATAGAAATTATTATTTTCTTAGAAAATAATATGAGTCTAATACTTTTATGTATCACTGCAGAGAGGGATTTGAAGGACATGCTTTTTTTTCCAATTGATATAATGCATCAATAATAAATACCCGTGTTTTTAATCCTCAATTTTAATCCATTGGCAGATACAAAAGCAGCATCTCATGGTAAAAATGTTGGTATGCTAGTCTTACAAGTTACTAATTATAAATTTAATTTTTTGCTGGTTATTTCAAGAATCAAAGTTGTAAACTCTGGCCCAGTTGTAAACTCTGATCAGCTGTTGAGAAGATATGTACAGAGGCATTTTTAAAGTATTGATCATTGCAATTCATATCTGCATAGATAGAAATCTTTAGTACTCAATTTCTTCTTCATAATACAAAAGAATTAGAGACAGTTGTCAAGGAAAATTAACAGTTTTGGAAATTTTCGTAGTTGAAATTCTAGTAAAATGATTTATGAAAATTTTGTCTTCTTGATTAAAAAAAAAAAAAAAAAAAAAATGTCTTTAAAAGAATAAAACAATTTTGCTGATACAGTTCAGCAGGTAACAACAGTGTATAGATCAGAGGAGATTTCAGTATACAGTCAGCATATTAGAGCAGTTTTCATAACATCATAGGAATAGTAATTATTCCACATATTTGAACTAATAATCTCTTCATTTTATCACATTTTGTCAACTGAACTCTTCAACCATCCTAAAGGTTATAATTCATTCAGTAAGATAGAGTTTCTACTTTAGTTAGTACTAGAACTGAGTGTCAGATTCCTGGAGGTAGTATGGATAATTTTCTTTTCAAGTTAGACTGGAAAATATCTAGACACATCGGGATTAATAATTTAG